CCTTAATAGTGGCACCACCCTTGCCAATGATAAATGCTCGGGTAGCCTGGGGAATAGGGACCTTGACGTTGACCTTGAAAGCAATATTAGCCAACAGCAACAACGAATTGCGCAGAATTGCACACATACCTTTGTTCCGATTTGGGCAACTAGATCCTTGAGTGCCTGTTGGGCGACTTCCTGAGGACCAGAGGCCATGAACTTGAGGTGTCCATTGGGAGACTGAGTCATGGTGATGTTGGCACGAGACTTGCGGTTAATGTCCTTGAGGATATCCGGAATCGGGCGTCGAAGTTCGGAACGGGGGCGGAGGAACTGGGGAGCGAGAGTAATTGTTTCGACTCTGCGTCCAGGAATGACCATGGCCGGGGTAGGCGCTTGGGAAACGGGAGTCTCAGCGCCAGATGCCGGAGTCGACGAGCGAGAAACACCGTTGGAACCGCCATTGGCATTGCTCTTAGCGCCCCAGATGGGAGCAACGTTGGGGGCCTTGCCTTTGGGAGCTCCAAGCTCGGGGAACAGCTCGTGTGACTGGGTATCGAGAGCAGCCTGCTTGGGCTTCGCAGCCTTGACGGCGGGAGCAGATCCAGAAGCAGATGCGTCATCAGCCGACTTGGCGGGCAGCTCGTCATCCGGCACGTCCTCAACAGTCACATGGTGCTGTTGAAGACGCTGGGCGACAGACTCCTCGCCAGCATTGGCAATGCCAGCAGGGACAGCTTCTTCGGTAGACATTGTAGAATTCGGCTCGGAAGGATCACAGATGGAAGGATGCTAGATAGACAGGGAGTGTACCGAAACTAACTTGGGAAACCGCAGACCGTCAGCAAATTGCACGGGAGCACAGGAATCAAGCAGACAGCCATTGCACATCGGGATGCCGGGAATTGACGGCAGAATTCGGCTCAATGGCTGCTGTACAGGTGTTTTGTGCAAACTCACCAACTGCAGGATAGGCAAACAAGTACAGACAGGCCGTTAGGCTTTGCGGGTAGCAGCACAAGACAGTTACGTGACGAGTTGCTTGATGCTGATGCTTAAAAGTCTGTGGTGTCTAGAACATGGTAAAGACAACCGCAGACGACGAATACCAGAGACCAGAGGGGAAAACCAGGAGACGGGGCGGCAGAGCTGAGCCGGAGCACAAAGGTATAGCACGACGAAGCTTTTGGAAGTTGTTGAGGGTGAGGTGGGAAGTTCGAGGAGCTTCTGGGAATGCCACGATACAACAGGGCTCGGGCGGAGCCACTGCAGTGGCGGCTTGCCAATTGGCACCAATCGCACCACCGCCGAGCCACGGCCGGTACCTAGAGCTCCGTACCGTACCTCTTTGTACGGGAGTCAAGGCACTGAGGTACCGTTTCTCCAGAGGTACCTCGCCGGTGGCTTGCCCGCCCGCCAAAAAGCGTGGCTACCAGGTACAGGTACTCCAAATGTGTGTAGAAAAATCACGAGAGCGGTCATGTGATTCGCTTCTAGACCCTTCTGTTGGGGGAGACACTGACATGTATCTATGTACCTATTCATCTGCATCTTATCGTCCTTATCGAGAGAGCAAGGGAAGCAAACGAGGCGAGTTGCAAGTAAATGACATTGACGAGCTGTCTTAGCAGTACGAAGTCAATGTGTGTGCTCATATTCTTGTTCGCAAAATCCCATCGACTTTTACATGTAGTAGCACCAGCCGGGCACGAGCATGTATTCTGTAGCGTCGTGCACAATCCCGTCCCTGCAGCTGGAGCGTCACAACGTGGATGTGAGCGCCTGCATGGCTTCGGAAGATTGAAGGAAGCCAAGGCGGACAAATTGACAGCCACTTGGCGAATCTGTGGCGAATATGCAGCTCCAGGGCTATGAAAGCTTCTATTTACAAGCCTACATTCGATTTGGCTCTGATGTGGAGTTAAGACCCAACGTCATTACACCTCCATAGCTGAGAATTGCTCTCTCATGCCCTTGGAGAACCAGAGTCGTCTATGTCTTTCAGTTGATAGTGCCAACTAGCATGCCACATTTGTTTTAGTCACTCTTGAAAATAAAAGTTAAGAGGAAGTAAAAGATAAAAGGTCCATTTCTTTCAATGGGTTCACAGAACTGGGAATGTATAATTGTGGCAGGCTGCTCTTTTCAGCGACGTCCCGCTCAGTGGTTGATTACTGTTTGTTATGCTGCTGCCGCGAAAGTCTTTTGCTGCAAATAATGTGACTTGAGTATATATCAGGTAGGCAGATAGCTCTCACTATCCATACCATTGCCGAGGTCATATATCTTGTAGGTGGTAACCATCGGTCTCAAATTCTACATGCCGTATGACATTTATGCCGCCTCGTGTACTTCCTGTCGTATTTCTTGTAAGAGCTACCTTGTACGAAGGACTGCCTGTATAATAGGGCGATTGAGGCAGAGAAGATTTCAGCAGAGGTAAATATACAAACCAGAATAAACCCCCTAGGACAACTGCCCTGTCCCGTGAGATTCTATGAATCAGAGTTGGTGGAGGGGTAAAATGCCCAGACCGTAATCAGAGCGCGTCTCAGCGGGAGACAGGCCAGGCGCTCCATCACGTCTGGCCATGTGTCGACCTGAGACCAAAACCCGAGCTAGCAGTTGCGGAAAAGAGTTGTTTGTCAGAGAGCCGTCTTCGTGCGTACGGCCCGCCAGTTGCCGCTGAAAATAGTCTCCGTCGAGGGCGCTAGGCTTCACGATCCCTCTCACTTGTCAGAGAGCGACTCCAGCCAACCCTGGTCAGATGGGTAGATGCAGCTCATTGGAGTTTGCTACTTCGGGGCGCTTATTTAGCATTTCGTATAAACAGCCTTTATTTAGAAGGTTAGGGTAAAAAGAACCAAAGATGGACTCAACATTCACTGAAGTATACGATATTCTGACTGTTACTGACAAAGCTGCTGGTAATGGAAATTGCATGGAATGAGGGCGGGGTGTCGTAAAACGGCCCCAGCATCATGAAACAGTACGGCTGCCCACCGTTTTGCAGCAAATTAATTGAGCTGAGATTCAACTGTATGTTGTCGTATGGACGGGGTCCCCCTTTCCTTGCATTTCGTGACAAGTGATATCTCTCCCTGCAACCTTGAGCGATCGGTATTAATGCAGGGATCGCCAAAGACCCAGAACCGGCACGCCTCTGTCTCCAGCCTCGTGTCTTCAACGAGCCATGCCCAAAAGGCATTAGACCAACTCAATTGTATGTTGGTATGCAACTTCAAGGCTGTCCAATGGTAGATCTCAATAACTAATTGCCCCGTACTGTGGTCCATAGTCTATGTTGTGGACTGATTTCTGATGGCCAACCGAAGCCTTGCTTGAGCACGGAGCAGCTTCATACAACAGGTACTGTAAATACGAGTATCTTAGGTTATCAATGCGTCAGGCTCAACAGCAATCACCCCACGCTTAGGCGTCAGCATGAATTAATTTTTTGAATTTTTAAATTTCCATTTTTCTTTTTCTTGATATCCTCTTTTCCCTCCGAAGTGCAGCGCCGTCAAGCGATTTGCTCCACTCAAACCAAGATTCGGCATCAATTGGCTTTTTTAGCATTGTCCCCATCTTCAAGATCCAAATCGTCGAAGCCACCAACGAGAACGCTAGCAAAAATAGTACTTGAACAGGAAACAGCAAGTTGGAACCAAGCCAAAGGTGGTACTTGTGCTTGTATGAGACTTTTTCTGTTCTTCGTTTTCTTTGCTTTTTCTTCTTTGTCATCCCAACTGCGTTTTCCTTTGTTCTACCCAGTTTTCTTTTTGTTTCCATCTTCTCAGTCTCTGTATCGATTTCATAGTCGTACTGTCTGCGGCTGGCCAATAACATGATTTTGGCTCAGAATCGTAAGGAATAGCGCCTGATGGGACACAGGCAGCCAATACAATGAAGGCGCAAGGCCCTGGCCCGCCGTACTTGGCATCGATCTGCGCCAGTGACGATTTCAGCAGAATCGCAGCACGAGCTTCCCCAGTACTGACAGGGGCAGGCCGAGGGACAATCCCAGCAGATACGAATGACAAGGGATGCAAACAAGCCGCGGATGAGGTGCAGAGACAAAGAGAGTATCATCATCATCTACCTGTAATTCATTGTGTCTTCATTCAACAATGTTCAAGAAACTGTTCAACTGAGTTAGTCTTTTATCGCGGGCGTTTATTTGCCAAGCTCCAGTAAAGATTACAGGCTTATCCCGGCTCAGCGTTGATGTGAGAGCGCCCAAGACTTGCTGCTCTCTTCTTGTGCAACGGGGCCCCTCCCCCTCCTTCATAGAAAGCACAGCGCTCACCAAAGTGGCCGACCCTGACATATCCACCATGTGCCCGCGCCAGGTGCGCACTGTAGGTCTACAGTGTCTGGCCAAGCAGCTTCAGGTCAGTGGGCATTGAATTCCATGCTTGATTCCATCGATGATAACGCATGAAAGGCAGTGCAGAGCTGATCCTTTGCCACAACACGGATGCATAAGACAAACACGGGCTTCTGTTGGGGCTACAGTTTCAATCACCAATAATAGCTTGGACGGCAAAAGGATCATGCAGGTTGTAGTTTGCAGTTGACAGCGGAACTCGTCAACTTTTCGCGCATTGTGGCTGGCTCTGCTATTTTAGGCGGCGTCTCATTCACACTTGCGCTCTTGGCCGCATTGGATTGCCTTGACTGTTGGATGAATACCTTCCATACTTGTATGCACCTGTCTCCAACACGGATTGTCTCCAACACAGATTCACACCAATGGCCCAGTGTTTCCAGCTCCCTTGATTCGCATGCTGAGGCACCAGGCTGGGCTTGAAAGCCACCGCAGTTGCTCTGTTCTCTGTAGATAGATTAGAGTGTACACGTACTCGTACGAGCGCATTGCACTGTATGTTTAACGTCGACCCGCATGGCAGCACAGTGCATCTCAGCCTGGAGCTCGCACCCGCTCGCGCCCCTCTTGGACCTATTATCTTGTGAACAATCTGCCACTCTTATGGGGCCCAGGACGAGTGCAGGCAGGGAATAGCAGCGCAGCAAAATTGAAGGTGGACGGAGTCTAGAGAATCCTGGAACGCCGTCAGTTCTGTCTAGATTTCCTTCTTTTTTTCCTCTTGTCCTTTTTCTCTCTGTTACAAGAATTACTGCCGCCGTCGAGAACTGCACCCGGTAACTGAGGTGCCTGGTTACCTATCCTGCTCCAGCCTGCCCATCGCCTGCTAACCTCACTTTTGCTTGCCTGGCCTGGCCTGACTGACCCGACCTACTCCATACAACATCCCCCCCCCGGTTAATCCTATTGTCCATTTTTTTTTCCCCATTCGCCGTCTCTTCTGGCAATTGGCCATAGTATTGTCCGCAACGGCTGGCCGCGCCGCCTCTTTCAGTCAAGGTTCCTTTTTTCTCGCACACCCCCAAAAGGTCGAACGGACGGGCCACAGACGGGGACCCTCTTGTGTGGGCTGAGACAGTCTTTCTTAGGTAAGGGTGCGCTGGAACAAACCAACCTCATGGAGCGCCAGAGCCCGCCGTTGAACGGCAATTCTCAGCGTCGCAAACTCATCAAGCGGCCCCCCTCGCACCAGCCCTACGGCCGCTCCTCCTCCGGCTACGACACGGAGTCGCTCGACGGCAAAAGCTCCAGCTCGCGCAACCTTCGACGAGCCCCCAGCGCTCCGCCTGTGCGGTCGACGGCCTCAAACGCGTCCAGCGGCTCCCCGCGGCCGCACCCCTCGAGCTTCCAGCAGCGAACGAATGCATCGCCAGACCTCAGCGCCCGATTCCGCCTGAGCGACCCCAACCAGAGCCGCGCCAACGAGGATCTGATCGGCGCGCCATTTGACGGCACTTCGATCCTCAACCACATCGAGGCCACCAAGTTCACCACAGCCCAGCAGCCGTCGCTCGTCAAGGCCGCGACCGACCCCCGCTTCACCAGACCGTCGCCCACGACATCGCCAAGCTACGCTGCCATGGACCAAGCGCTGGAAAAGTCCCAGACCGGGCGCGTTCCTGACGGCCTCATGAGCCCCAAGCGCTTCTCTGACGAGGCCAAGGACAAGCCTCCCAACTCGCGCAAGAAGTCGGGCTTCTCCGGCTTTGTTAACAGCCTGGTCGGCTCTCAGAAGAAGCCTATAATATCTGCGCCCGAGAACCCTGTTCATGTGACGCATGTGGGCTACGACAGCACGACCGGCCAGTTTACCGTTAGTCCAAACCCGTGGCGGCATCTTCGTCTTCATCTTCAATGCTCTTCAGCTACTGCGTGAACCCCGCATGGCCATGCAGCCAGTCCCGATCTCCACGATGACGGGGATGAGGATGAGGATGCTAATCAATGTTGCTGCCAATGCTAATACTTGACCAGGGACTTCCCAAAGAATGGCAGCGACTCATCAACGAAAGTGGCATCTCCGAGAAGGAGAGGAGAGAGAACCCTCAGACCATGGTTGATATCCTGCAGTTCTACAAAGAAACCACCGAGCGGCCACCCGAAGATCAGTCTCTCGAAAAGTTTCACAATGCAGGAGCCACAGATTCTCGCCAATATGGCGTCTCTCCGACATCACCAAACACATATCCCAGCAATTACTTTGGTATGGCCTTTTTTACCCCTACGGTTTCCTTTGTTCAGATTGTCCACGTTTGTCAAGTTTGTCCCGCAATCAGGCTGACCAAGGGTTTGTCATCACAGGAAGCTTTGAGAATCCCCGGGCACCACCTCCCGTCCCTGCCGGCAGTAGAACTCATGGCCCCGGCCCCATCAAGGAGATCATGCCGAGCCGACCGGCGCCGAAGCCTCCAATCAGCATGAACAACAGGCCACTCCCACCTGGCGCATATGCGGCAAAGGACTCTGGTATCGGCATGGCGCAGCCCTTGGACGATGCCTCCTCCAGCAGTTATGGCCATTCTCAAGAAAGCACCCCAATGCTTCCAGAGGAGCATAGATCACGATCCAACTCTCGCACCAATGGCCTGTCACCTTACACTCCGCAAACCCCTTCTCTCAGTCCCGCCACTCAGGCCAATGTATACCAGCAACAGTTGATGCAGCAGCAGCAGGAGCAGGCCATGGCTCAGGCTCAAGCAGCCATGACTGGACAGCTTGCCCGAGCCCCCAGCAAGAGACAGCCCTCCCCGCATATGGCAGCTCCCACGGCCGCTACCGGATACGCTCGCGCTCCGGAAGCCAACGGCCATCACGCTGCGCAGCGACAGCAACCCAGCCCCGCCGCACCAGCGGCTGCCGCCGGTGCGCGCCCGAGACAACGAGTTCGCCAGAGCAATGGCATGGACGTTGTGGCTTCCCTCAGGCGGATATGCAGCGAAGGCGACCCGCGTAACATTTACAGAGGCTTCACCAAGATTGGACAGGGTGCTTCTGGTGGAGTGTACACTGGTCATGAGAGGGGCACTAACCGGTTGGTGGCTATCAAGCAGATGAACCTGGAGCAGCAGCCGAAGAAGGACCTCATCATCAACGAAATCCTCGTCATGAAGGACAGCTCTCACCCCAACATTGTCAACTTTATTGACAGTTACCTTTGTGACGGCGAACTTTGGGTCGTCATGGAGTACATGGAGGGCGGCAGTCTAACAGACGTTGTGACTTTCAACATCATGACGGAGGGACAGATTGCTTCAGTCTGCAGAGAGACGTTGAGAGGACTACAACACTTGCACTCTAAGGGCGTCATTCACCGTGATATCAAGTCCGACAACATTCTCTTGTCCAGCGAGGGCAACATTAAGCTCAGTGAGTAACTCCCATTCTCTGCTCTCTTCTTTTCAAGAATTTCGAAAATTGGGAAAAGAAATTTTATCCCTTCAACACCCATGCTAATCATATGATATAGCCGACTTTGGATTCTGCGCGACCATCAATGAGGCCCAGAATAAGCGCACCACTATGGTTGGTACGCCGTACTGGATGGCCCCTGAAGTCGTCACGCGCAAGGAGTACGGCCGCAAAGTCGACATCTGGTCTCTCGGCATCATGGCCATTGAGATGATTGAGGGCGAGCCGCCGTACCTGACAGAATCACCTCTTCGTGCTCTGTGGCTGATTGCTACCAACGGTACGCCACAGATCAAGAACGAGGGCGACCTGTCAGCGGTGTTTAGAGATTTCTTGTATTTTGCATTGAAGGTGGACCCCGAGAAGAGGGCCAGCGCGCATGATTTACTAAGAGTGAGTTTTTTCCTTATATTTCCCCATTCTTACTACTAGCTACTCCCCTTTGGAAACGTTCCATTTGCTGACCTGTTTGCCACTCTAGCATGAATTCATGAAGCAATGTGTCGATCTATCACAGTTGTCCCCCCTAGTCCGAGCTGCACGAGAACAGCGAGCACAAGAAAAGGCTCGAAAAGGTGCCTAAGCATATCAAAATCACCGAGTTCCCAGTCTCACGTCCTCTCTTCCCCCCAATCTCCCCTAAAAGAAAAACAACTGCAGAGGTTGCTCGCCCACCCCCTCCCTTTCTTCCTTTTTCAAAAAGAAAACCTTGAATATTAGAGGCATACCATTGTTCTTTTGGCCTTCATCCATTTCTTCTTCTTTTCTTCGGTTACGGGTTACTTTTAACAAATAGGGGGGCTGTGTATCTAGAGCTGCGGCTCCTCTTGTCATGTGCTATCGTTTATTACCTTTTTTTTTTTTGGCATCTTACTTCTTCGATGGAGCACTTTTTATGAATCTAGTGCTGTGCCTTTTTTTTTTTTTTCGCCATCTATTCCAATTTTTTATTCTTTTTTCTTATTCTTCTTCTTGTCGTTTTTTTGTTTTCTTACAAAAAAGAAAAAACAAGAGTTAGTTAAGTTAATACCCAGGTGAAATAATAAAATGCTTCTTTTTTCTCCTCCTAACATGTTTGCGTTGCGGGATTGGAAGTGTGGAGAGTTCAAGTTGGTTTAAGCATATTTGGATGGCATTAGTAGGTACTAAGATAGTTTATATATGCATTTACTATCTAGAATTTGACAATTACACGTTACATTGGATGAATAAGTGATGAAGTCAGGTGTATGCGAAATTACATGTTACACTGGATATATATGAAGTGATTAAGTCAGTGTATACGAAGATATATCTTTGGATGTCACAACGAGACAATTGGAGCAAGCGAAAAGGTTGTTAACTTTAAAAAAGCCTCAAGGCCACTTCATTAATTTCATCTGCCAACTTGTCTTGGCTAAAATGTGGTTTTCATCTAAAGTCTCTCTAATCTTCGCATCATTGAACTCGACGTCTATTCCCTCTATGCATGTCTGGCTCCGTGTACCCCGACGGGCAGACAGCAAACCCGAATGAACTCCAAACTAGAAAAAGCAGAAAAAAGGTGAATGCATCTTTCGCAATAAAGCACCATGGTCGCATAGAAAAACAAAACGACAGTGGTCGAAGCCAATCATGTCCCCAATTTTTATGGCTGCCTCAGAATCGAATGCAGATTTCATGCATCGATATCTCCCAAAACTCCCATGCCCGAGCCTTCAAGGCTGCGAGCGGTATCGCTTCCGTGATAGATATTAATGTGTTGTGAAATGCTGATGATGTACTATGCAGGAGGAGATGGCTCGTCCTTTAGTAGCAAGAGTAACCACCGTCAATGATGACGTTGGAACCAGTCATGAAGCTGGAAGAGTCGGAAGCGAGGAAGACGCAGAGACCGTTGAGCTCGTCAACAGCACCCAGGCGGTCCTGAGGAGTCAGTGACTTCCAGATCTTCTTCTGGGCCTCAAGGGCGGGGACACGGTTGAGAGCGGTGTCCATGTAACCGGGAGAGATGCAGTTGACACGGATCTTGTACTTGGCCCACTCAGCAGCGATGGACTTGGCGAACTGGATGACACCAGCCTTGGAAGCGTTGTAGCAGGACTGCTCCTGGGGGTAGTTGACAATGGAGCCAGACATGGAGGCAACCAGGATCAAGCTGCCGGGCTTGCCAGCGGCCATCATGGAGCGGCCAACAGCCTGGGCCATGAGGAAGGAACCAGTAAGGTTGATGTCGATCAGACGACGGAACATGGCGGGGTCGTAGGTCTCAGCCTTGATGTTGGAGTCGGCAATACCGGCAGCGTTGACCAGGACGTCGGGAGCACCGTAGAGCTCGACAACGGAGTCAACGGCAGCGTTGATGGCAGCACCGTCACGGACATCGACCTTGAAGAATGAGACGGGGAGACCAGACTTCTGGTGCAGCTCAGCGGCGGAAGCGTCGCCCAGCTCCTGGTTGGCATCGAAGATGATGATGGCCTTGGCACCAGCCTCAGCACAGGCTCGGGCCATGTGGTTGCCCAGGCCTCGAGCACCACCAGTGATGATGATGACCTTGTCCTGAACGGTCATGCTCTTGACGGTGTGAGGGAGCTGGTCGTAGACCTTCTTGTTAAGAGGCTCAACCTCCTCGCGCTCAGCGGGGACGGGGCTGTCGTAGGGGACCTTGGAGGCGCCATCAGGAACCTGCAGAGTCTGCTTGTCACCCTGGCCAGCGCCGTAGACGGTGACGGGAACCTCCTTCTCACGAACAACGCTCTTCTTGTTGGCGGTGTCAGACACGCGGACGGCACGGGTGGCCGAGAAGAAGCGGACGGCGTTGCTGGGAGCAGCAACACGGGAGGCAGCTGAGAAGTTGGCAGCGCGAGAGGCGCGCAGTACGCTTCGAGTAGAGAAGGCCATTGTGACTGTGTGTGTGTTTTGTTGTGTGGGAAAGGTAGAAGAATGGAGGAGAGGAGGAGGAGAAGAAGGGGCTTCGTAGAGCGGTGTAACGAAGGCTTTGTGTGGTTGAAGAGGAGGATGAATTTGACAAAAAACGATGGAAGAGTCTATGCGTATAAAAAGCCCAGAGAGAGCTGAAAAGACTGTGTTTGCTTGCGGGGAGAGGAGGTGGTTTGGTATGCAGAGAGAAGAGAGAATGTCTGCTTTCGAACAGCCGTCAAGGAGTGTCTTGATATAGGATTTGACCCAAAGCCAGCTGGAGGAGTGGGGGCGCCGAACATGGGGCATGGCGGAAAAAAAAGAAATGGCAAAGTCGAGGGGCTGTAGCGCAGTGGGCTTAGTGGATGCGGCCAGGGGGCTGCAGTGGGTGTGCATCTGGGTCTCAGCGATGGCGAGTGGGTTTTAGTGGGTGTGGCCGCTGCATTCAACTAAAAGCTTAGCGTGGCGGGAGGTCCGGCAGCGAAAAAAGAGGAAAAGAGAGGCCATGTATCGAGGTCACCCGCATGTACCGCTGCCAGAGCGTCAGACGAGGGGAAAATTCTGAATTGGCTGCTAAAATTAATCCAATTGATGGCTGCCCAATGGCTTGCCCGAGGTGAGAAGAGCCACACCACTACGGAGACGGTACAAGTTTGCATCTTACGAGTTTTGTGTATCTAGTAGTGCTGAGGTTGTGGTAGTGCTGGTATAATCTTGGAGGCGGTACTCAGCCCTCCGTATTCGCAGCTGCCATCCTGGCCAAAGTACAAGCCGTGTACCGCGACGACCTGGAGGGGCAAAAAATGCAGGCAGTACCGTGTGACTAAGCAGGAACCTGGCAAAAGATCAGCCAGTCCGTGCGTCGCGAGTCCTCCTGAGCTGCGAATCTTCGTTCACGGTCTCCATCTATTATGGGCAACAGGTCCAAGATCTTCGCTGTCTGCTATCAAGAGCTACTTGGCGACTAGTATCTCGAATCTTCTTGACGAGATTTTCCTGGCGGCGGGCCCAAGGGATGTACACTTTACAGTGGGCTTTCCGTGGGCATGTGACGCAGAAGGCTGCCGATTCTTCCTCAGCTCAGGCCATGATACTGTACAGTAGAACGGCATCTCGGGATTTGCAGATACTACTCGTCGCTGACAGCTGTTAGGGGACCAAGGGACCATAATCTTGCCCGAGCCGCCGATCAACTGAGATTGGGCAAAGCCGGCGCTGTACCGAGATAGTTCAGTTTTCTGTGGCAATGCTGCAGTGTAGGGAAAACAAGTCAATCATGTACAGGCATGTTCCACAAGGCCGCAATTGTGTCGATCCCAGGATGAGCGACACAGTCGAGGCCATTGTCTGCTTCTGATTTCAAATGCAGGCTGCGGGATGCAGACAGACTGCTGCGTTCTCGGCTGCCCTCCAACCTCTCACCTCTTTCGCCGACCCCGTCTCTGGCGCTTTGCAGCCTCCAATTGAGCGGGCGATTGGACAGGAAGATTTTTTCCATGTACAGACAACGTGGCGCGGCACGGTTGTGGTGTTGTGGCGAAAACAGACACTTGGCCGGGCCTCGATCGGGGTTCACCTACAGTAGTAGTCGATCTGCACCACTGCCATAGCCGTATCGGATCCGAGCGATGCAGAGAGGCAAAAGCTGGGGTCGCACTTTGCCGCCGTGAAGTTGCAAATCTGCAAGCAGACCACCAACCTCTTAGGTTGATCGAAGCTCTCTCCAAAAGAAGAAATGTTTGGCACAGTGTTGTCTCATCCTGAGCGCAGAAGAGACACTGTGAGACAAGATCAAGTTGTCTTGGATCCAGAGAAGCCAAATAAGAACGCCGCTTGCAAAAAAAGAGGGTGTGCGAAAGCTATCTCGCACTGTACACCCAGCTCCCGATAATCCGGCTTCAATCATTCCACGGCCTCGGTAATCTATGGCCACGGGCGCATCAAGTGAATCTTCTTGTTGAGAATATCCTCAAACTTGATCGGCGTTTCAAAGTGTTTTGCAGAGTAGTACACGTGTTTTACGAGCATACTGCATGTTGCGGTTCGACAACAAAAGGGACAAGCTGAGCTCGCTTCACCTTATCCGATGTCGCCGCAATGGCGGGGATCATGCTACACTGTCCAACTGAACTGAGACATCCAATGAGAACGGGTGCTTGGCTGCATTTGTCGCTTTCAACCCTCATCTCAACTGACCTAACCCAACAAAATACCAGAGCCACAATCTCTGTGTCAGTGTTTTTGAATCCGTCCCTCTTGAGCGTCGAATCTGTCCTCTTCACCTGTCTAGACCTCGATGGACTCCCCAGGCATCGACATTCTGTCCCGTGGGGGTTCCCACCCAAAAAGGACATCGTCGTTCCTGGGTGCAACAATAGATGTGGCGCTGCCCGGAAGCGTCTTGGCGCAATTTTCTGGTCCCGCTGAAGCATCGTGGCTATTTTGAGGTGAATCGAAAATGCGGGATAGGAGGTGGTCGTGTTTGTGCGATGCGAACGTAGGGCGTTGCTATGCAAGGAGCTGTCATACAGTACTGTGCAGGTGCATGATGCTCAACACCGGTGCAGCAACCTCAGATGCGTCAAGACTCTAAAGCCAAGACAACCAGACCGTTTGAGGCTCCCGTCAAGCTTTCGTATGCTAGCTGAGCCTCTCTCGTCCAAAGGATTGCTGCTCACTCGCACCCGGAAGTTTCCCCATCAAGCGTGCTGTAACCCCAAAAGCTCTACAGACAGCTCCTTTCAAATCCTCAGGGTCTATGGCTTACGTATCTCGCAAAACTCTGATCCATGAGACAGCTTTGCCTCGGTTATGACTACCTGCTTATGACTTCGAATCACTTTGAATCCATCTTGTCAGCAACAGATGCTCCTCTCGGCCACTTTTTTGAGGCCTAAACAGCTCTGTATCGACCTCCATGTCCTTGTCAAGATACATCTCGACGAGTCAGGCAAAGGCCTCAATGACGCAGGTTTACAAGGCAAAGTCCCTCGTCTTCCTCGCGGCCAGCACGGCTCCGTGGCGTCAGCGGGCCTTGAGAGGACCCTGTAGGACCCTGTTGGCGCCGGGCGTCTTCTGAAGGTGTCACAGGCCACGCGGATGTGAAAACTCAGATCCCTCGAAGCCACACCTTGTCGCTTTTGCTTCACAGAATTCAATTACAAAAGTGGCTGCCCTTGTCATGTTCGGTATCCAGCCTCCCCCCACGCGCCAGTTCCTGTTCTGCACGCCACACTGGTATCGCTGGAGCTTCTGCATCGGCTTCTGGAAGCACGGCACACCAACATCAAGACGCCCCTAGCAGAGGCTAACAATGCGCTGTGGGGATTGGAGAGGGGCCAGCGGTCCACTAAACAACTGGGAAGGGGGGAAGAGGTGACAGACAAACATGGTTGCCGATCAGGCGACGGGTCCCGGACGCTGCCAGAAGCGGAGCCCGTAACTTCGCAGTGAAGAAGGGTTCAAGGGCAAAAAAAGGTACCCGCGCTTAGAAACTGCGCTGCTCCGGGCTCCAGCCTCGTGGAGCTTGTATGGAGCTTCGAAATGTGTCTGCCTAGAGATCAAATGGGGCTCTGGAGAAGGCTGGATGTAAGCCCTCTGGGGCACGGCGTGCTTTGGACTCCACGGCAGAGGAAGAAAGCAACACAAGAGAGCAGTGAAAATGGACGGATGGGGGGACACGAGAAATGCGGTGTGCCGAACGTTTCGACCTGCTTGCGGCCAACAGGTACTTGGACTTGGTATGCATGCCCAAGTTGCTTCTAAAACAGCGATTTCGGCCAAGCGTCTCCGTCTCTAGTCATTTGATTCGGCCAAGCTGGCAGCTCAGCGCATGAAGCTCTTTCAGGTTTCCCCATGAGTAGGATGATCACCCCTGAGCCATTGCGTCGTCACCCCACCACCTCATATTCACAGGAATGGACATGCTCGTAACTGCACCAGCATCAACGTCGCACCTCGAGGTCACGAGATCGAGGTCGTAAGCAAGCACGGCCAGGAGACATATTCCCTGACCCTGCTTGCCTTCTACAAGCATGTAGGTACCTCGTACGGTACAATGCATGCCAGCTTCTCCGGATACTTGGGGATGGCCAAATTGTCACGCTTCGCGCTACGGAAATGGCCATTCTACAGTTTGGCTTTAGTGCCGCGTGTGTCTCTACCGTTTTCCCGCAATGGGACTCAGGCAAGAGTGCTTCTTCATCAATAAGGTTGTTTGCCGCCTCCCTGGCGAGGGATGTCTTGCCAGACTCGCCAGGGTAGCTACCCCCTTGTTAGCGTTTCTCTGGGGTCTCCCAGGAGCGCGGAACGGATGCACACACCCTTGGCCTGCCCCCTTTTTCTAAGTGCTGAGAATGTTACCGTATGTGTACTCGGAGTACTCGTATATCGGGTGCAAGTACACCCAGACGCAAACAGTGTGGTAGAGTGCTGTCCTGCTGTCTCAGCTCAGCATTGATTCGGGATCGAGAAACAGACAGCCTACGCACGCTCGGCTCTCGTACATCGGGACCGGACCGTCTTACTCGGCCCTCGTTTTGAATTCGGCATGAATATTCCTTGCACCGGCAAAGCAAAGAAACTATCCGACAGGAGTCGCTTCGTGGCAACCCTCTCCAACAACTGGTCAAAGCTCCTACGCAGTCGACACCCCCGGATTTCACGAACCGATGCGGAAAAAAACCAAGCTGTCCGCATGACCACTGCGAGATTGAACCTGGGTAAGGTTCCGGGGGCCGGAGGCACGACACCGCGGCCGGCAACGCGGGCTCCCCACGTTTCCCAATGGTTGGCGACTGAACCGAACATGGGAGCCGGCTGGTGGCTGGCCATAGCCCCTGAGCCACTACCCAACGCTGCCTTCAGCTTTGGGTGAAATTCGTCCTCCTGACCTTGCTAAAGAGACCTTCATTTCCGGCTTTCGGCAAAAGTCTTTCTTCTTGTTTCCCCCAAAGAGTTTTCGTCCAGCATTCAGCTAAGAGTAGTCTAGCAGGGACAATAATGAGGCTCAGACCACCAACACAGATGCTAGCAGCAAGCAGATTGCAAGGTTGGGTGCGAATGACAGGAAAATTTTTATTTAGCTGCCTAGACCCTCTTCTCCTCAGCAACACCAAGATGGTGTGGCCATGGCTGCACGGCCGGCAGTCGAGGCGCGATCTATTGAATGGGCACCTCTGCAGACAGCATGTATCCACATGAGCACACCACCACTCAGGGGAGCTCCCACGACGGTGTCGCATTGTCGGTTTTCATTTTTTTTGTTTCCTCAGATACGGGCTTTTGGGCGACTAACGGCCTTCCCCCACATCGGGCGATATGTAATGCAGTTGCATCGCGGCCGCTCTGCTACCCCACGCTTCCGAAGAGCTCAAGCTTCAGAGCGATACGAAGCAAAATTAGCTTCTTGGGGGAAGCAGCCCTTTCGCTATCTGCTTCGGAGAGCGAGAAGCACCACTCAAGCGGAAACGGTGGCGTGGCCCCCTTACACCACCTTTTCTGCGCCGGTCAGTCCATCATCAGGTTGTCTAGACTAACGCCTCGACAATTCTCGACCACTTGCTTGTGTCTGCAGCGCGTCGGCGTGGCATGACCAGTCACCTTTTTGAGCCCGTTGAATGATATCGCTTCATGGCGCGTATAATCCTGGATTTAGGTTTCCCGGCATTGAAACCTATCGAGACCCAACCAGTTTCGCGCTTGGCCTCCCCCCTCCAACCCTCGTCGCGATGCGGGAGGGCGAGAAAAGCTTCATGCAGATCGTGCGGCCCCGTTCGGAGCGCATCCTCCGAGTTGCCTAGAGAAAAACTCAAATGGCGCGCGTCTTGACAGGTCAGGTTTTGGAAGCTCTCTCTTCACATGCTTAAGCGCCCAAGAGAGCTGTTTGTGTGCCCTTGGATTGGTGCGGCATGTTATCGCCTGGTCAGGTCCTGGTGCATTGGGCCACCTTGCCTGATGTATGCAGATGTAATGCAGTAGCATCATGTACTCCGTGCTCGTGCATTGTTGGGCTATCAAGGTAATCAGTCCACTCGTTTACGTGCCGCTTTTGGTTTCCCAATAGCTTCATCCAAACGGCACTTGATCCTTCTACACTGGGTGCCAATTCCTTTTGCAAAGAGCTGCGGCATTCACATAATTGGATGGGCTGCAATGTAGCTTGCTTGTACTGCTTTTATTATGATTCCTTCAAAAAAATGTGGCTTGAAAAAAGGAGCTCGCTATAAACCAATCCTCCAAGACCATACGGAAGCAAGCACTGCCAACTCTAACTAACCCCTCTCTCTCCAAAACAAAAAAATATTGAATTTTCTTCACCCTCTTCCATCCTTCATTACCTAAAATGCCGGGGTATGAAAACCACACGGGCTGAACCTCGTATCATATCGTACCGTTTGCAAGTCGAATCATCACCAACCTCATTAACAAAACAAAAAGTAAGAAAAGAACACCTAAACACGCTGCCACATAGTCTTTGCTTGCGCTCATAGCTCTGCTCGTCTTGATGATGCATAGTACACATGATCAAACCATCTGGGCCATTCGTCCCGTTGATGGTGCCGTCTGAGTAGCTAGAACGTGAATCAATTGATCAGTTAATCGCGGTCATCCGGCACCGGAATGATCAGCTCCAATAACGATGCAATATATGGGCTCTGTAATAAACTCATTAGCCACAATAATTTCCTAAAAGGGGGGTGCATGAAGTAACCTACCATGGCAAGATTCTCCGCCAAAATGCCATGCAACTGAGTCAAGTGAGGCCGGAAGAGCTTCTCATTCCATCCCCCCTTCTCAAAAGTCCTAGACTGTTCTTTAAGAAGCTCCTCCTCGGCCTCCGTCTTGACCACGTTACGAGCAATGTTGCGGAGCACCAACACGGCACTGAGCGGGATGCCGCCAGCCTGGGGAGGCGCCTCGGGCATCCGCTCATCACGAAACGTCGGAGTCTCTTCCAGCACGATGCTCATCGTCTTCGCGGGAATGACCCAGGGGTGTCGCGGGCGCCTGTTCAACGAACCGGGGCTCGGGATCATGGTTGAAATGTGCGTCGAGATGTGCTGCGCGAGAGTCTGCAGATGCATCTTTGTCGGTTTCTCGTACTTTGTGCACTCAGCCCAGGTGCATTGATACTCCTTCTCGATATTGGGGAACTGTCCATTTTCGCCCCTTTGTTCATTCAGATGTGCCGTGAGGATATGGTTCCACATTTCCTCTTGCTTGAGATAAAAGTGGCCGCACTTTTCATTCTTCTTTTCGGGGTTCATGGCCCATAAGCAGCGGCCATATTCGGTACCGTCGAATGCGAGGGGCCGTGGTCGAGCGCGAATACCATGAATGATGAATTTTTGCTGGGGGTCACCAGGTTCCCGAAGCACCTGGGCATTAGAATCCTTATAAACAGACGTACTGCTTCTAATGAAGTCTGCCGGGGTGATCATGGGTTGGTTGATAGCCTTCAGCGGGGTGGCAAATGCCGACTGATAAGCCTGCCATGCGGCAAGCTGGGTAATAAAGGATCGGTTGTCTTCCTCGAAAAAGCACTTGACCCATTGGTGAACCCGGTCCGGTTCTTCTAGCTTCAGCATTTCCTGGAGCAAGTCATTGGGCATTGGCGCAATTTCGTCCTTTGCTGGTAACCTCTGCTCTGGGATAACTGTATATTCTCTGGTATATTTGCGGGCCCCGTGTGCTAATAGGCGAACAAGCTGCTGAACAAGATTGTCGGGGACGATAGATCGTACCAAGTTGTCGAGATTAGGCACAACAGCCGTGTACTGGTATAGAAAGTCGAGGCAGGCGTCAATGAGCTCGTCATCGTTTAGCAAAAGCCAGTTCACGATCCGTTGCAGTGTTGTGCTTGGCACTTCGCCCAATTTGTTTGTCGCCTCCAGATTCACAGAAATGCGACCAAGGGCGCGAAGTGCTGTCAGGATGGTTCCTCTGTCTTCTGATGACAACTGGGCCAAGAGTGTCTTGTACAAGGGGTCGTCGGATTCCAGAGCCATGAAAGGTGTCAGCTGCTCTGCGATGTCAAGAGCAAGATGCTTGACCTCGGTAAGCGAGTCTCTTGCCGGTAGATGTAAAAGGATGCATATCAGGTCCTTTATGGGGTAGAAGTCGGACATGTTTTGCGCATTTTCAGGCAGCGTCACCATGTTTCGAATAGTGAGAATGGCCTCGGTTGTCAATACCATTTCATCGGCAAACTTTTCGGTTTGGATGACATCTGGTATGTCTCGCTCGACCAAGTTTGAGATTCGTTCTAGGATGTCTTGTGTGCCGTAATTGCCATCTAGGCAGCCAATGTCGTTTGACTCGGCGAAAGAATCCCAAGAAACCGTCCAATTGACATGGTAGAAGAGGTTGCCAATCTGCAGCGCCTTCTCCACAAGGCCTTCGGCCAATCCCGGGAAAGAGTCGAATTTGTACTTATCACCTCGTTCAAATGATATCTTCACCAGGTGATTGAGCGCAAAAGCCTGCTCCGCGGGGACACAAGAACGGAGAGCATTTAGGCATCGGGTATAAATGTTGGGGCCATCAAAACCAGCTTCAAATCCAAACGCGTTAGCACAACATCTCTCACAGGGAAACATGGCTTGTTTGAAACTTACTGCCGGGTTGCATGGGCTGTCTGTTGGCAGGATCGAGGGCAAATCGATGCGGTAGCTTGGCTTTAAAGAACTCGCTCGGCGTGTTGCTCGGAGTTGCCACGGGACGCAGCTGAAGCGGCTTCATCGGCTTCGGTTGGTAGGATGTTACCAAATGTGATGTGTTTTCGGAGTTTGGAGGGTGGTGTAGGATCGAAGGCCCCCGTGAGTTGTTATGGATTGCCATAAGTGGCATTGGATGGGCAGATTGATGATGAGGAGCGTTCTGATGTACGTGGTTTACCGCTGGCGAAGCCGAGTTGCCTGCCTGCTGGTTGGAGGCCTGTCTTGTAGATCGGGCCGGGCCTGTATCGGGCTGGAAGATGACCCGTTGAGGAGGAGCCTCGCGAAGACCGCGGGAAGCTCGAGCACTTGCAGCAGGGTCTGGTGCTGGTCGTTCTTGGGTCGGAGTGCCGTCATCACCAGACGCAGCGCTGTCTGTAGCTCCGACGTTGCTCTCCCGCTTGCCGCGAAAGTTTTCTCTCGTGCGTGTCAACAGACTTGCGCCTTTGGCTGTGACGTCTTCCAGAATGTCTTTGGGCGGCGGCTCCTTGCCATGGACTGTGCTGATTTCGTATGCGGCGAGGTTCTTGTAGAACTTTTCCTTGAGAGCAAAGGCCGTCGATGCCTCGTTATTTGAATGAAGGCCAAGCTCAGCTGCCATGCGCCGCCACGCCAATTTCTCCTCCGAAACTTTATCGTATCCACCGCTGGCGACAATGTGGTTGAAGACCTTGTACAGATCCAGGTGGATCATGCCAACCTTGGGTTCTGGATCCAGCGTCGTGCCTCGCTTTGCATGGTAGTCTCTCAGCTTGGTCATGAAGTCTTCATATTCGGGCGTCCTCTCGATGGCGTGCAACGGCACCTCCTGAGGGGAAGAAGTCATCTTGACGGATGATGGCTAAAGCCCTCTTAAGATGTTCTGAGTCTAAAAAAATCGATGCCGAAGCTGTGTGTCGAATTGAGCGATACCGGCCCAGGGCTGCTGGCCAAGCGATGTAGCAGCTTGGCCTTGCGCGTTTGTCAATGTCGGCGGGCTTGGGTCGGAGATGCGCCGTTATCGTGTCTGCTGAGTCAAAGGCGGTGCCTCGGTCGAATCTCGAATCCGTCTCTCCAGATCCTCCAGATTGTCTTTCGCAGCTCTGGCGACAGCAGGAGAGAAATCGTCGTCGGCAAGTGTCGCCTCGCGTGGTCAAACAACGAATAACGAACAAGGCTCGGGCTATCGTGGTTTGGCGCGGCGCGACGAAAATCGACTGGCGCACGGGCAATCTTATCTGCACGTGAGATGCGTCCACCGCCCGTGGCCAATCGGAGTTTTGCCATGGTAGCTCCCTTCCCGCGGTGCCTGCATCTTAGATCAAGCAACTAACGGCCTTGCTGCATCACCGAGTGAGCATTTGCTTTTTTTCCACGTTGAACTGATGACTGATGATTGATGATTGTTTCTTTCTTTTGTTTTTTATCCTGTTTTTTTCTTCTTTTTTCCTTTTCATATTTCCTCCTTTGAAGCCGCCCTTCAAAGAGCCAATCTCTCATAACAACGAGCATCTCCAGCTATGCCCCTCGCACCAACTCCGCTGTCTGGCTGCCCTCTGCGGCGATTAGAGATCCACGATGGATCCACTTCCACTGTTTACGATGCTGCCCAGCTAGAGAGCTGCTTGACTGCTACCCTGGAAGCACGACGGGCCATAGCCGGAGATGCAAACGACATGATGCTTCAATCGCATTTGGGACTGCAACGTGTGGTATGTTTTTACTCGATCTCTGATTTCCTACCCACTGGTTTTGTGCAAATCTAACGGCAACAATAGCTATCCATCCAGCTTACCGAACTCATTACATCATCCAACAACATGCTAGAGACTATCACCATCGACAGGCTCTCTCACCGGATGTGCATTCAAATTCATCAAAAGAAGCAAACCGTTTTATTTACCTTTAAAGAAACCCGAGATCTTAATGTCGTCATATACGCCCTAAAGAAGTTCGGGTTCCAGGTCAAAGACGGCATATCTGACCCGTCTCACGCTGCCGCTACAAGTCTAGCTCGCTGTCAATCCTATCCAACACCTTCGCACCGCGATTTTGCACCGCGATTAAGCTCCATCACTCCATTAGATAGACATGAAAGCTCGCCGACACAATCGCAATTTTCCTTCCTTTCAATGCTGAATTCGAATATGCCGCTTACTCAACTGCAGTCAGCAGATTCACAATATCAACCTCTTCAATCTCCGCCACAAGACCTATCACAGCAGTCAGTTTACCAGATGATGCCAGGAAACACTTACGCTCCCTATCAAAATTCTTACCAATCGTATCTCGGCCACCACAGCAATATGTATCAACCACGAGTGAGCTCTCCGCTTCGAAACACCATCGACATTAATAGTCAAGATACATCTCCCATGTCTTCACTACCGAGTAGTCAATCTAGCGACTTTTCGAATGCTAAAGATACAGGTTCTTTGCTGAGTAATCGATCTGAATCCACGAACACATCGTCGCAACCCTGGCGGCAGCCGATATGCATGGGTATAAATGACTACGACTCAGCATGCTCTCAAGAGACCCCGCAAGCAAGCCAGGACACTGTTGCTTCCACAGCTTCCACAGCTTCTACAGCGGAGGACTGTCAAACTACTAAGGAAGCCGATGTCTCGTACACGTTGCAATCTACACAAGATTTTCGCGCATTGATGCCTCGAACTCGCAATTTGCCTTTTGTCAGGGACAGAAAAAGCAAGACGCCCAAATCACAGTCCGCGCAGAAACGAGCAAACAGGGAGCAGGGCCGATGTAAGAGCGATTCGAATATACTAAGAGAGGAATTTTTGCATTCCGATCCAGAAATGGATAGACCAAATGCATCACAAACCAATGTGCAACCGACACCAGCTCACCCAACAGATACTCAAACTGAGATACCAGCAATGCGTCATTCCTCTTGTGAAATAGATGATTTGCCCTCCATGTTCGTGGCTGATAACGAATTACTTGAGAGGCTGAATAAAACAACATCGCAGCTTCTAGATCAGTGCACCGCAGATATTGGTCGAGGATGTGACGAGGCCGCGTGCGCCCGATTTTACTTGGAGCAGATTGATGCGGCACGGAGAGATTTTTGGTTGAGTGAATTGAAGCAAGCCAGTTACATGTAATCACATAAACGAAGCATTGAATAAATGTTGATTGATAGCCACAGGTGTCATATGAGAGTACGTAATGCTGTTGAAATTGGACTAACAAGGCCCCTTTTCGCTTTGTCTACTTGTCTGACGAATTTGCCTCCATGTCGTGTAATCCATTTCTGAACAAATTGTGCATTCAAACGAGGACACAGTCACACCATGTTCTTCATCTTTGTTCAATCTGCATGGGGGCTTATTCGTCAAACACTGCTTTCTACATATGTACCTTGTTCACACATATTGACTCATGGCCGGCTCCGATTTCTATATAACAGCCTCTCGCCTACGGCTTCCGAGGAGCTTAACCGTGCTGCAGTAGTTTCTTCATCAAGACCTCCGAGCCCACATATAAACAAACTAAAATCATCCTTCACCTTCTAACAAGAGCAGTAATGCCTCTAACAATTGTCCCGGTCGACTCTCTACTCGCACTCAGAGATGGAGTTCCCTACTACCTTAGGAACTACGACCTATCTAACGCGCTGTTCTTCAGGGTCGACAGCTACTCTCGTCGGGGCGAATTCGACTACCATACTGAAGTAGCTTGTTTCGCAGACTGCTATTTTGCGTGGAAGAAGACCATTCTGAAGACGCGGCAACTGGAGTGGCCCGAGGCTCGTTATGGGCCGTCTTATCTCTCTGATAGGGACATGGATCAGGTGTTATATATCCTTGTTACCGAGTTGGACCAGCACCGACGCTCCGGTCTAGGCCTTGAAGATACGCGTTGCGTCGTTTTTGAAGAGATGGGGGAGACTCCTCGCGACAGATTGGCATGGGCCGTGAGAAAGTGCTCGGATATGGTATGGGTCGACATCTAGACGGAGGCCAGCATCAAGACGGAGGTCGACATCAAGACTGAGTTTGATGATAGTATGAGGTTTGGAATCAAGGCAGAGGCCAAAGTGAAGACGAAGAGTAAAGCATGACGGCTGGGGTCAAACCAGAAGACCTTCAGACTCTTCGTCCAGTGTAGCTCTAGATATAGTCAGACTACCCTTCACCTTTAGGATTAGTAGAGAAATAGGACTTTTTCTTTGCTTCTGGCCCACTCACTTGAAACGAACTGATTAAAAGAATGAAAAGAACATGATTTGTAGCAATGGCCCGTGATGTGAGGCCCAATGTCTCCTCTTTGTCTAATGTCTGTCTGTTCATCTTGAGGAGTCTGTGCAAGACGTCCCGAGCGTTACGCTAAGCTAACTTACTCAATCATAGTTCATGACATGTTCGCTTGACCCTCTAGATTCCGTTTCATGATGTATGAAGTAGCTCTTTGTTGTCTTTCTGAATCTTATGATAGATGCATTTGGCCTGCAATTGCTAAGTCTCCTGGCCATCTATAAAAGCCACGAAGTTTCATCAGAATTTTCCTCGATACTTTCTTCATTCGCAGCTCTAAAGATACTGAAATATACGAAATACTCATCGACCACCACCGCCACATTAATTCATCACAAAGTACCTACCCAAAATGTCAGTTTTTGATCCTTCTGATCTCCTTGATCTTTTCGGGGAACCAGTGACGGATCGGAGAGTTCAAGTATATGAGGACATCTTCGATGACTATTTTGAGAGCGAGTTATGGGACGCCAAAATCTTTCGAATCTTCATATTATCCGATAAAGACGCCTCAGAAGTCCATTTCTTGGAACGGGCCACTTGTTCAGACGGCACCTTCATCTGGGTCTTTACTGAGCCCAAGTGGTACCTTCCAACATCGTCTGACGGCCGCATCAATCTCACTGGTACCTGCATTTATACGCCTGATGCTAAAGAAATATTCGATCGCATAAAAGAACATTATGAGAAGTCCGAGAGTTATACCGAGCTTAAAGGTGCCCCTGAAGACATTCGGGCTTGGCATAAGGAGGGAAGATGGGGGAGAACGATAAGGAGGGAAGATTCCGGAGACCGAATGTAATTGCGAGCCGTGGCAACTCTCGAAGATATGTCAAGGGCTAGAAGCAGAGACTGTGATAGAAATATTGCTCAATTATTAGGAATAGGAAATACTCGCCCCTGTTGTTTCCGCTACACATGAATACAGCTCGATACTCAAGTCGCTGCGATATTAAAATACAATTCTTATACTTCAAGGGTAATATACGCGATTATACCATAGCAATTGCACAACGTTTCTCTAAAAATGTATGTAATTCTCTACGTTAGAAGACTAGAGGTTGGCATTCCATCCACACTCCACCCACCAGCTCATCTGTTTGCTTCTTAGGGCTTCGATAAGGTTCTACGAGACGATGCCTGGATCTGCTCACCTGACGCTTTGTTGGTTGTTGAAAGATTAATTTGGGACGAGGAGAGCCTACCAACCGGTACTTGAGAGCATTGGCCAACTCTTAGGCGCCCGTACAGTCTGCATTGCAGCCTTTGTTGTCCCAATCTGGAAGTTGTCTTTTGATGCAAGAATATCGCTGGCTTTGCTTCATCGTGTATATAATGCGATAACTGCATCGACAGCTCCTGATGGCTCATTCTCATTCAATGAACTTCATACACATCTTTTAAAAAAAAAAGCACATTTGTGATGTTATTGCAAAGTCCAAATGACACCATCACTCTCTTCCTTGTATCCAGAAGCAGAAGTTGTCAACCTTTTGGCTCATCGTGGCCATGACATACCCAATGCAACTTTTCTCCGGTTTATAATGGACGTCGAGACGGATGACTCAATCGTTAGTATCGTCGAAATTGCTTGCCGTCAGCATGACCAGTTTATATGGTGTTACGATCGACCAAAAGCAGATTTTCCAACTTCTGACGAAGACTGCGTTAATTTATCTGGATTAAATGTTCCAGCCAAGCTCGATAAAGTTTAGCATCTAAATTTGAACCGCTCTTCGGATTTCTAAGTGAGCTACAGCTGTATGAGTTTGACGGGTGTGGAGAAAATGGCGTTCTTATCACTGCTTTAGAGAGCAAACCCCTGAAAGGGAAGGCATGGTATCGGGAGGATGAAAGATATCGAGAGGATGAAAGATATCGGGAGGATGAGAGGCGATCGCTGATGGTAGCTCTGTGGGACGCGCTTGGATGGATTGCTCACCACCTCGGATTAGGGGCATGTATGGGTCATAGTAATGAATGTGCGTTGCGTATTTGACTTTGCCTTGCCGACACAGTTAAACAAGCAATCATGTCTTGATACTGCCAAATTTGGGTTCAATTTTCGATGTTTAAGATATGGGCCAAGTGTGGTGTTTGTTCAAGATGCAAATCTGAGATCATTCGTTGAACTGCTCCCACAACTGGCTGAACTACACAGACCCTTTAAAAGCAAAATTCCCGAAGGAAAAAAAAGAACAGTCCGTCATCTCAGCCTGAAAGTTGCTGCCCAGTATATGAACATGGTTGGTGCTGGCTTCCTATTTAATCTGGCACTTTCCTCATCAGAAACATTATATATCCTGCCCTCGATCACAACAAACAAATCCGCGCTACGTCTAACTCACTCTTACAACATCATCATACAGCAGTCAATCAGCAACAATGCTCCCCTTGCATTCTTCCGCCAAAGTCGACAGCCTTTTGGCTTTTGACCTCTCACCAGAGCACAAAGAAGACTTTGAAGTGACCAATTCGAGTTCGACCTTCTTCAGGTATATTCAAGAGGACAAGGACAGCCCGGACATCAAAATCTTGGAAATTGCCGGCTCCGAGCGCTATCACTTCCTTGTCTTTAGTTTCAGCCGACCGAAGACGGATTTCAAGATTTCGCCAGATGGCCGCGTTGCTCTGTCTGGAGAATTCGTTGCAGGAAACGCCAAGTTTAACTGCACTCAAGATCACATATCTAAGTTAGTCTATATGCACAAGGCACGCTCAGATGAGCAGGTTTATCAAGGAGGATCTATTGTCGAGTTTCTGGAAGATACCCCGCAGATGAAGGCGTGGCATGTCTTCATGCATCAACGATTCGACTACCTTATTGGGAGACGGGTGAATCTCACAGAGGACGCCGATTCACTCTAGCCTTCGTGGACGGACCCTTGGACCCAGTGAGGTTTATCTTATGGTTATGGAGGTTCTGTGGATGATTGGTCCCGAGGATTAAGAGATAGTCGTGACTTTGGTTATCAATAAATTCTATTTACACCTAAATGCGCTCTGCTAATGCAGTAATACAAGTGACGCTGTCGAAATAATGCAGATTATCTACCAGGTGAGGCGTTAACCAGACTTACACTAAAGCAATCATTGTCTTATTCTAGGATCTTTTTTTTTGTAAACCACACTTATATGAAAGAGGCCATGTTACCAGCCTGTATCATAGTACTACGATTCAGAAGTTATTCACTACACTAAAAATAAAATAAAAGCTTTTTCTCTTCATTCTGTTCACTCATCAGGCCGTACAATCGTAGCACATGCGTCTCTTCATTCAAAAACGATGTAGTACACAGTTTTTCTTTGTCCAGGGTGCTTGTACCTGTTCACTCGATACACTATTGTTGTTAAAAGGCGGACTTGGGATGACAAGAACCCCCTAATCGCCACTCTCGTGAACATTGATCAGTTCTTTGGCGTTCGTACACTGTTCAAGACATCCTTTTTCTCAACCTGGCGGCCTTTGTCGTTCATAATGCGTTCAAAATTGTTCTCACATTCACAAACATGCAGCTACTTGCTACTCATCTATATAAACTTCATCTACGCTGTGAGTTTTTAGTATAATGAAGCTCATCATCAACTACGCTAAACACCATCTACACATACGAGAAAAATTCGAGCATCCGTAGACACATACAAGATGGCGGATTTAAACGATTCTTATCACTTTGGCGCCTCCAACGGTCTCATGATTGATGATCTCCTCGTTGCACTTCAAGAAAACGATCCCGTAGGCGACCAGGGACTCGGAGTCCTCTACAGAGGCAATAACTTCAAGAAAAAGATGGTCCATGTCTTCGAGGTGTTCGACACTCCATACAAACAGATTCTTTGGGTCTGGCTTCGTCACGTGGATAAGTTCCAAGAGAGTGAATTGGTGGACATTAACAAGATAACGAAAGACGATGAATCTACGACATTGCTTGTGCATTGGGAAGCGAGATGGAAGAGGATCGCATTCGCGGGATTGGAGCCCAAGAGCACGCCTAAAGGTGAAGTTTTGGAACCAAATTTCGGGACAAAGGAGGAATTCCAGGCCAAATTGAACGAGATACCGGAGCTGGGGTATGTTGAAGTCTTGGACACAAGGCAGGATAATGAGACTGGCATCCATTTGGCTATCGTATCTATCACAAAATAGAAACGTTAGGCACATCAGACAGGTAGACACACTGAGAAGTAATGGGAACATGTGGAATTACCATTCCAGTTAGGACAATTTTGATGTTGCGGATGTTATAGGCTATCATGGAGAGAAATATATTGCTGTTGCTTTTATGAGCGCTGTATCGAGTGTAGACTGACTTGTTCCTTATTTTTAAACACGTACAAACTGCCAAACACCATCATCCCCAAATCCAAATGCATAGCCTTCAAGGGTGGCGAAGCCACTGCCCTCGTTCTAGCCGCTACATCGTGTCCAGTACCGGGGGAGAGCTATGACCTCGTTAACGAGATGCCCACAAGATACTATTTTAGACTCGAAGAGGGCGTTGTTCTTATGAAAGGCCTTCAAAATCTTGTCGACAGGTGAATGGAACAAACAAGGAACCGGAAAGGTCATCCAAGGGGGACAGTCATTGTAGCTAGTTCCAGAGTGTTGCCTTTCAAGACACGATGGCAAACACAGGACACACGGAGTGTAATTGAATGAAAGGAGGATGTATCAATCACACACACTCCCTCTCCCCTTAGGCGGTGGCTGAACCGGTGTGTACGAGTTAATAATGCGGCATGGATGAACTCAAGACCATGTTCCAAGCCTTTTGTGGTGGTACACCATTCAGGATATCCTTTGTCCTCTTGATCCGTAGATAGATGTTCATTCCCGTGTACTCAATGAAGTCTGAAGACGTTCATCCATATGTACTCAATGAAGTCTCAAGACATTCATCCCCATGTACTCAATGAAATCTCAAGACGTTCATCTCCTCATGAAGGAGTAGTTGTTCTCTGACTATCTATATAACCCGCATCTTCTCTGCTAAGCAAACTCGATATTTCTCTTCCTCAATCCCACTCAACACCATCGACACATACAGCAAAGATTCAAACACTCAAACACACCAAGAATTACGACAGCCAACCAGCGCAAAATGAGTCTCAAGGTCGGTGACCATGGCCAGACCTCTTTTCTCCTCTACGGAGCGATATCCGGCATTGCTCCCGATAAGCATCAAGAATCCAAGACCAAACAGAAGTTCCGACAAATCTACCAGGCGCTCAACGGTAGGTTCTGCGTCCTCGAAATCGCCTATTACGATGAAACCGAAATGGTCATCTGGAAGTGGTACCATAATGACCGGTTGCATTTGAACACGAATACCCGCGACATGTTCGGTCGCTTGAATGGATTCGCCCCCAAATACATTGATGCTCTCAAGCAATGGAATGAGGTATGGACGATGATTGCATCATTCGAGCAAGAGGACTGGACTACCGAGCTGGACAAGCTCGGACTTCCTGTCAATGTCGAGACCTTTGCGAAAAACGCATCAGTGACATCTGAGGGCGTTTTGGCGGCTTTGGGCGAGGTCAAGATGACCATGGCACGTCTCAAATGGTATAATCAAGCGGCCATGTTGAGTCGAGGAGCCCAATGGGAGACCTGGCGCCGGGTAGGTTAGTTCCCTTGAGAGGTTCGATTCCAACTATTGAGAATCACGGATCCATGTGATCCTCCTCATGTTGCAAGCCGCAACTGCCCCGTAGTCCGTTTGCTATAGAAGACTATGTCTTCTGCTGTTTTCTTTCCTATGTCTTCTGTTGTTTTCTTTCTTCTTCCTTTTGCTCTTTTCTGAATAGCTTCCCTTGATGATAGAAATAGACTGCTATTTCTCCATACCAACGTAGCAGGATGTGGATGTAGTGGGGATTAGCTAGAGAGAAATATACCATTGTTGCTATTATGAGTGCTGCATTAAGCGTAATCTGGCTTGCTTTTTAAATGTGTCAACAGTAAATCCCAATGGAAAAGGGACAATTTCTTACAGCGCGTAAAGCATATGAACAAGTAAATGATTGGCCAAGGTTATCATTCAAGAATCCTTTATTCTCTCTATCCACAAATTTTTCTTTGCCCATATCTAATTTTAAGACAAAGACGTTCAAAAACTTGTTTGCCCATAGATAGACACCTGTTCTCTGAATATCTATATAAACCGCCTCTGCTCTGTCAAATAAACCCAGTATCTTTCTTTCATCACCGATACCCGGGGCTATCAACCACAATCAAAAAAAATTCGTTTATTCTCATACACACAACCATGGCCAACTCCCTCATTCTCGGCTCGTCTCCTATATTTGGCCGGGTCGACTCCTTCATCTTCGAAGACTGGGTCACCAAGATCGACTGGGACAAAAAGATAGAAGAGCTGGGCTCAGACAAGTTTGAAGAGACCGAAATGGTCCTCGACTTGCGCATGGCAGGCTATTTCCCAGCCCCATACAACAAAATAGTTGTCTATGAAGTGGCCTACACTAAGCAGTATCAAATCATTTGGAGCTTCCTCTGCAAAAAGACCGATGTCACCGATGCGCAGGCTAAGGCACTCAGCGAGGTACAAAAGACTCCCGAAATTACGGAACTCAAGAGGAAATGGGTCGGAACATGGGAGGGCATCTCAACCAAGGAATTTCATGAAGTACGGACTGAATGTTCTAGAACTTTTGATGATGAGGAAGGATCTACAGTCTATCCCGAGCTACGAGAGATGCTAGTTACCGAGTTTTCCAATGGGGTTGTAATGAAGGTGATGCATATCATGATTGAATAAATGGCATGGCGTGGGTAGCCTTATTTCAGAATTCCGATTCAAGTTACTTGGCACTTACGAGAGTCCTTTGTTCTCCTAATTAGCAAATTGCTTTAAATCTCCACCTAATTTAAGATGTTGAAAGAAGTGCAAAAGCGTTCAAAAATGTTCAAAGGCGTTCATTTACTCATAAAGAAACGTTTCATCTCTGGTTTCTATATAAATCGCATCTGTTCCCCTAAACAAACCGAATCTTTCTCTTCCACCACCTCTATTCAGCACCATTTGCATTCACAACAAAGACTCATTCATTCTAAAGCAAAGCACATAACAATGTCTTACTTCTTCTTTTCCCCAGATGCTATGAATCGCCGCCATTCTGACAGGATCCCAGACAAGTTCTTCCACGAGTTGATCAAAGAGGTTGAGGACTACGAGGAAAAGTGTGCCTTGGGGCACCTCCCCATCTATATGGGAAAATATTCTCTTCTCGAAGAGGATAGGATCATTGTCTACAGAGTAGTCTACACTAAACATGAACATGTTATTTGGAGTTTCAGCTGCAAGCCTGGCTGCTTCAGCGATGAAGAGGTTGAGAAATTCAAAACGGCGACACCCGGCCGCTACAGTTTGGAATGGAAACTCGAGAATAGATGGAGACAAATATGGGATAACGTCTCAACCAAGACGTTTGATGAATTAAAAGAGGACTTTGCTAGGGTGTGTGAGGTTAAGAAGGTACCTCGAGGCGTGTTGCGGTTGTTACAGCCAACTATTAAGTTGACCAATGGGGCTGAACTGACGGTAGTTCGCATCGTTCATGACTGACGGCATGGCGTGGACAACCTCATATTAAAAGTCCAATCTGAGTGACCCAGGGTGGTGTTATAGAGCTACACAAGGGAAGAAACACAGATATTTGTTGTTCGATGAGTGCCACATCAGATGTAAAGTGAATTGGTGGGTCATTGTGTCAACAGTAAAATCACACGAGAAAAAGCAATTTCTCACAGCCATAAGACATGCACGTAAATAATTTTTTAGGCAATAGTGTGTTGCAGATTTGTCAAGTTTGTAAATAGCATTCTTTCTCAGAAAATCTTTCTCTTAACCCCTACGCCTGTCGATCACCATAAAACTCTTCCCCCCTGCTAAGCAACACCCAAAAGCACGGCTATCCATCAGAAAAGGACAAAAGAGAAGAAAAAAAATTCTTCATAAATCCCAAAGGAACAGCGCGAAGAGAAAGATGGAAAGAAAACGATCAATTCAACCCAAGGAGATATAACGTGTTAAAACAAGTTGGTATCCTTCCAATTGGAGCCCTTTTTCCAAGAAAATAAAAAAAAGTATAACGGAGAAGAAAAGAAGAACAAGAAAAAGCAGCAGTCTTTGTGGTATCACAGGTATCGGGTCCAATTCATCACTCCCTCATCTTCACGTAGTTACTGGGGAAAATGCCGTGCCTTGTTCCGATTTGGCCGGTCCTGGTATCATAGCGTTAGAATTGTGTGTTCTATACAGTTAGAAATATATGGAAACTTACCACCAGTCGTTATCGCTATCTGTCTTCTTTAATATCGTAATGACATCTCCCTTCTTGAAGCCCAGATCACCGGGCTGATCTGCGTCAAAGTTGAACAGTGCCACGGCCTCGTTCGACTTCAATGTAGCCTGCTTGGCTCCGAAAACAGGCTTGGGCGCAGTGGGGCGGCCAGGTCCGACCTTTTTCTCAGGAGGTCTGTCTTGGAACCTGTAATCGTCGTCGAATCCCCTGCTTGCAAACGTGTTTGAACGTGATGGAGCATTGTAGTTCGGCCTATCGTAAACATCGTCCTGCCAGGTGTTTGACCTCGAGCGGGGGTTCTGCTGGCCTTCACCATACGCAGGTCCCTGTCGGCCCTCCCACACGACATCGTCATGGTTGTCGTCGTATACGGGCATATCGTTGTACATGGTGTCGTCGGAAGAGCCGAGCCTCATGCCACTAAAAACTCTCGAATTGAGAATGTTCATGAGGGGCGCGGCCTGCGGCGGAGGTGGTACAGTCCCGGTAAGCAGCTGCTGCGCTGTGTAGCGCGTGCCATACAGCTTCTCGTTGGCATCACGACGTTCAATGATGGCCGAGCCCTCGAGCGAGACACCGGCGAACAGACCCTTGGTCTTGGAATAGCTGAAAATGCCCGACACGCTCTTGAGCGAAGCTGCGCCGGCGGCCTCGGCATTGCGACCGACAGGGCCCGCAGCCAATGACACGTTGCCTCCCAGTGTGATGGAGCCAGCCTGCGCAAAAGTCTTGACGGCCGAGGTGTCGTTAAGAATGAAGACAAAGTCCGTCAGCTCGAAGCCGATTTGTCCGCCAAATCCGCCGCCAAGGGTTCCAATAGCGCTGGGAGCGCTCCAGGTTCCGTCAGGGAGTCGAGCGACCACGAGCCCACTGCCGAAGCGACCAGATCCGAGGAATCCGGCCTTGAAGACGGTGATGATGGCAAGACCCTTTGCGTTGGACAAGATCGAGGGCGGGATCACCTTTTCGGGGCCAAAGGCCTGCCGCGGGTTGATGAACGACGAGAGGATCTTTCCGCATTTCTTACATTCGGCTGTGATGAGAAAGAAGAAGAGCAGAGTCAGTTTCCAAGCTTGGTCAGAATTTCCATTCTCATCTTGTTGACCAGGAACGTGGCGACAAGGACAAGCCGCCACAAGCCAGACAGCAAGATGTTAATGACGTAGAGTCGGCGCGCGAATTAACTTACATGCCATGGAGGCCGGGAGAGGATTGTTGATGCCCATCTTGACCGAGTGTGCCTGCGCGAGGCCGTTCTCCCAGAGGCTGCAGTTGAAGGTGGAAGCTGGAAAATAAAAGAGAGGAAATAAAAAAAAAAAAAATCAAGCACAACCACACAGAGGCAAAGATCGGATCCTAGAAAGAAGGTGGTGCGTCAGCAAGGTCGTCACCTTGGAAATATAGCACTGCTAGCAGGCAGCCAGGCGGGGTGGAGGGGGGCGCAAGTCCGCGGTACCTGTTGGGGTGCGTCGATTCGGCACGAGGCGGAGGTATGGGGTACTAGAGGATCCGATAGCGCTTGCAGGCAGTTGCGGCGCCTGATTGATGCCGTTATGGGCGCTAGGAGGCCCTGAAGGATTGGATTGAGCCTGTTACAGCGAGCCAGGTGCTGTGTCTGGAGCTGTTCAACGCTGTCGTCAACTCAGCCACAAGGTGAGTGAGCGAGAACCCCGAGATACGGAACAAGAGGAAGAGCAAAGGGAGCACAAACAAGCAAACAACCCATCCGCTGGACGGTCTTCCTATTATACGTAGCCCAACCGGACCATTACGAATCCCTTCCAACCACAAAATCACACAACCCCCGAATCGGTAAGCATTAAGCATCCAGCAACCGCACAGCGCATCTCCAGCTTCGGCATGCCGGCCCCGCAGGCCTGAATATTTGCCCCGGCCGCGTGGCGCGCGTGGCGGTGCGAACATGCAACCGCGACCCGTGCTTAAAATCCTCAATCCCACTAACGCCCACTGGGCCAAAAGAGCACTGGAGCGCTGAAACGCAGCACAGGGGGGGTTAGCCACTTGAAACCAGCGCTAGTCCCCAGCGCTCTGGTCCAATCCATCCCGTCCACCATCATCATCAACCATTCACCTTCACCAAATCTGAGCCTCGGTGCCATCGTCATCCATTTCCCACTGACTTTTTATTTTGGTTTCCCGACTCGCTACAATCTTTCCGTTTTCGCGCCGCGCCCACAGATAGCCAATAGCAGCTTCGAGAGTACTCCGAGAATCACACCCCGTTGGACAACTTTCCTTTGACGGGCGCATTCAGCCTCACCCTCCCGGTTTTCTCCAACGAGGCTATCTGCCCCTTCTTACCGACGAGACACTCTTTCGCGATATCACAGCGCTCCAAGCAGACAAAGCGAACTCATTAGAGAGCAGACGCTCACATCCTCGTCGAACCCCCGAATCCCCTCCTCAACACAACCGCCCACTATGTCCGAGGCATACGAGCGCGAGCGCCAGAACAACGCTCGTCTGGAAGAGCTCTCCTCCAAAGTCACCGCCCTGCGCGGCGTCACAGTCGACATTTACGATAACGCCCGCGCCCAAGATGTCATCGACAACACCGTACGTGCAAAAAGAAGCCCTCACTCAAAATCCTCGGACCAAAGGCTAACATGATTCTCTCCTCCAGACCGACACATTCACATCCATGGCTTCCCAGGTCAAAGGCTCCGCAAGCAGATTAACGCGAATGGCCGCCTCAGGAAACAACGTAGCGATAATAAAGCTCTCAGCCATCATCATCGGGGCGTTCTTAATACTCTACTACGGCATCAAGTGGATCTTTTGAGGATGGGGGCATAGCATAGAACGGGTTACCTGTTGGGACCGTGGAAAGGGGTGCTTTTTTTTCTCTTGGTAATTGTCGTTTAGGATATACAAAGTGCAGTCGGACTTCAAAGACAATACCCTTGGCGTGCTACGGGGAGTTTTTATGAGCATTGGCTTCTTTTTCTTTTTTTCTCTATCTCTGTTAAAACAATAAATACATTATGGGGACAGACATTATCAATTATATCATACTTCAAGACGTAAACAGGTCAGATAGATTCATCACCACAGGCACGAGGAATGCCATAACCACGCAGCTCTATGCCTCCTTTTTTTGCAATCTACAAGACTCCTAACATGCATAACAAACGCCCAGTAACATGCCCGCCCTACCCAATGGTGCAGCCCGGGTAATTAAACCGTCCCCTCCCACTCCCGGTCCTGCACACAGCTCGTCATTATAAAATATATAGAGAGAAGCAATATTACTGCCAAACGTTAGAGAACAAATCCTCGTCGCCCCCAAAGCCTCCCTTGGCCGCTGTGCTAGAGGTGGTTGGTCCAGTGCTGCTCGTCCAGCCGCCAAATTCTTCATCAGCGGCGACCTTGGGGGCCGGGTTGAAGCCACCGTTGGATCCGGGAACAATTGGCGTGTTGGCAAAAGAAGCTCCCTCCCATCCAAGACTGGTCGAAGCCGGCTTTGGCAGCGAAGGGCTCTTCTGGGCCACCGGAGCGGCCGTCGTTGAGCTGCTCCACTCATTTCCACCCCAGACATCAGCTCCCGACAAGTTGGCCCCACCAATCACGGCTGCGGCCGAGCTTGGTGCAGCCGCAGGCGCAGGCACGGGAGCAGCGGGTTTGTTCTGGGGAGAGGAGAGGTTGAAGACGGAGCTGGACACCGGGACGCTCGGTTGGGCAATTGGCGGAGACACCGGCTGGGTGGCGGGCGCGGAGAAGTCGAAGAGATCGTCCATGGCAGATGACGCCTTGGGGGCGGCCGGGGCAGCGGCCACAGGCGATGAGAAGGCTCCGAATCCGCCAAATCCAGAGCTGGAGTTGGAGGGCTTGGATTGGTGAGATTGCGCAGGCTTCGAGTCGAAGAAGCTGCCTCCGCTCAGGCCGCCAAATGCATTGCTGTTGTTTGATTGGGACGCTCCCGCTCTCGTACCAAAGCTCGCAAAGGGATCGACTGGTGCCGGCTTGGCGGCTGCCAGGTTCAAGTTGCCAAAGGCATCGTTGAAGCCGCCCATTGAGCCCTGGGGGGAGTGGTGGCTCATGGTTGGGGAGACGGGGCCTCCAAATCCATGCTGCTGCTGATATTGCTGCTGCGGAGGTTGCGGCTTAGGGGCAGAGGCATATAGTGACAAGATGGACTGTTTCAAGTCAGGTCTTGACTGGCCTCCAGAGCTGCTGACCCCTGGTGTGCTCGCTGGTCGGGGCGGTGCGCTGGCTTCACCCAGGAAATCAAGTCCGAGCAATGAGTCCTTGGTACCAGTCGTCTTAGGAGGGGCGGGATCAGCCTTGGGGGTGACTCTGCCAACAGGAGGTCCGCTAGTCGCCCGCACTGGCACAGGGTCATCGCCACCGATGAGATCTCCCACGGCAGGAGCCGGGAGAGGAGCTCTTCGTGGTGCCTGGGATTGTCCAATCGAGGCCTTCCTGATGGACTCGTTCCTCTCAACGACCTGCTTCTCCTTGACCAGGCTTAGGGGAACGTCGTCGTCGGCTGCGGCGTCGAGGGTAGAGGGGTCTGGGATCGGTCCGTCCATAGTCCATCGCTTCAGCTCGTACTTGGTGCGGATAAAGTTCTCGATCTTGGATTCGGATGGCATGTGGCCGGGCGCCAGCTTGGCTTCCCAGTATTTGTTGGCGCGCGCGTTGCCCCAGTTCAGCACGCTCTGGAGTTGCTCATCCGTCCATGAATCGAGGTCGACCGACTTGACTCTGCTGATGTGGGTGCCCATGCCACGGTGAATGCCGGAGCATCGAATGCAGACAAAGACGCCCAGGTTCCAGCTGGCCCATCGGGGGTCTAGCGAACGAGACTGTCGTTAGTCTTTTTTGGGCGAAATCGATTGAAGGTTGAAGTTTAGTTAATGGCAGGTTAACGTACGCTTGTTCCGCTTGCAATCAGCACAGACTTTGTTGGGTTCGAGCTTCAGGAGACTCTTGATAGTCGCCTGGTTCTGCGCCGCCCGCTCAGCGCCGGGATTTGGGGCTCGTCTCGACATGGCGGATCAGATTTCACAAAAGGATAATCGAATAGTGTATGGTCGGGATTGCTAGAAAGGCGGCTGCCTTGTACTTATGCTGTGCTGAGAAGAGAAGAATGCGGCAGCCTGGAGCAAAGTGTCGTGTGTGGCCACTTCGGATATTTCCAAGTTGCAGGTTGACCGCACCCCACGAAAGCCGCCTCCTGTATCAGACATCAATAGCCATTGTCGGCAGCACTTCGGAAAGCAGTGGCATTGGGCGCATCCTACCCTGGAGGCAGAGAGGCTGTAATTGGGCGGATTTCACAATGTTGCCGTCACTTTCTGCTTGTTATGATGAGAGTTGTTGCTAGAGACGGATCATAAAGTCTTATGAGTGGAATAAATAATGCACATGATACTGATTAGAATACTGGTTGAGTTTGGTGAGTTGCAACGTCATGGTCCCCAATAGTGTCTCAAGAGTAGCAATGGAATATTTGAGCTGAAACAACTCCCAGACAATTCCATCACTAGGTACCTACTCCGTACTTATATGGCATATGCCTGACTGGTAGAGTTTGAGCTGGCACTGTATTCCACAACAGGGTATCGGTAATATCATTAGTATTGATTCCAATTAATTAGGTCAGGTAGCCTCGCGAGCCTTCCAGACGCAAAATGCGAAGCCTTAGCGCTGATTTTCCCAGTGCTCAATATGGCATAATACAGTGTGTGGGGGCCCTTGGGGCCTCAATTTGGATGATGCAATGGAATCAATTGCGGCTATACACAGATTTGTCAAAAACCTCGTTGCGGCTGTAACACATCTTCCAAATCCAATTAACCAATCAGACACTGACGACATCTCTAATCAACACATATAAAGGCAATCAAGTTGTCGCCTCTCTCTGTTTTATATCAACACCATCAACAACATCGCCTTCATGCGCTTTGTGCCTGCATTCTCACGATTCATCTTCTCTCTATCTACTTTCGCCCGTGTTAAATCCCCGCATCAGCTCCGACAACGCGCACTGCAACCTATTCGCCTGCAATCTATGTCTAGCATTCCCTTCTTGAGTGCCTTATTCGGTTCATCATCTAAGCCCTCATCCAACATGACTTATCCCGACCAGCGAACCGAGGACGAATGGCGCGCCATTCTCAACCCAAGTGCGTTTTTTTATTCAGCTTTGCGATTCACAACTTCATGTCACTAACACATCCCGCAGCACAATTCCGAATTCTCAGAGAAAAGGGAACTGAAGCTCCCGGCACTGGAGAGTTTGACAAGCACTACCCCAAGGAGGGCGTCTACACCTGCGCTGCATGCGATGCGCCGCTCTACAAGGCCACTCATAAATTCAACTCGGGCTGCGGCTGGCCAGCCTATTTCGACAGCGTCCCTGGCGCAGTGACTCGACACGAGGACCGAAGCTTTGGTTCTATCAGGACGGAAATCGTCTGCTCCAACTGTGGTGGTCATTTAGGCCATGTTTTCAAGGGAGAGGGATTCTCGACGCCGACGGATGAGCGCCATTGCGTGAACAGCATCAGCTTGAAGTTTTCACCAGAAGACAAGGTCGTTGAGAAGAGCAGCAAGGATACCCAGGCATAATGGCCAAGTGATGTGATGGGGTTGCCTGGCGATGTACACATATAATGGGCGTTTGAAGATGTTATGGGCTGTGTAAGCCAAAGTTAATAGTAACCCGTGTGGAATTGAAATATGAAAACCATTTTAAAACAAGGCAACTGCACGTGTGGGCAAGAACATGCTTGCGTAGATATTCTGGGCGATTGGATCTGAGATTGAATCTAGCCTCGGTAGCGTCGAGAAGCTGTGAGATTGTCAGATGAGATGAGCCCTCCAGATAACGTCAATGCGGCACAATAGTGGCCCAGTAAGACGGTACGAGATGGATGGTAAATTTAGCTGCCACTAATGGAAAGCCATTTTCAGCTTTTTCACAAGCCAACTCAGCCAACATCAAGTACTGTCAGCTTTTGCCCGTCATGTGCAATGGAAGATGCCGAAACCAGCCAGAGAAATGCGGCCTCATTACTGTACATGCACATGTACCCCGGCTCCATAATACTCGACTCAGTGAAGGCGAGGGCGAATAAACGCCCATCTGATTGATTGATTACTCAAACACCACATACCCCATGACCATGACCATGACAAGAGGCGGCAACAAGTTTTGGAGCAAGAAAAGCGAAAAGCTGGGGAACCCCAAAAGGACCCCATCGGCATGTGAAAGGCGCTAAGGCGAATGCGGGTGGGCACTAGCAATTTTGGGCGATTGGAGATGCCTCGGCCGACTTGGAGCTGGTCAGCGTTTGTGCCACCTGTTTGGGGGATTTGGAAGGGTCAATACATCCGAGGTCAGCCGGATTGATTATAATAATCCTCCGTCCACATCGTCACTGTCATTTCTTATCTTTTACTTCTTCTTCTTTTAGATCTTTCGTATCATCTCTTCCTCTCTCCTCCATCTATACGCCTATCTCATCCATCCATCCATCCTTTTTCTTCTCATCTTTTCACACATCTTCACAAAATGGGCGGTAAGTGATCCCGCCACAGGACGATCAAAACAACACCCTTGGTTTGATCTAGCTCAAGTTTTGATTTCTAACGCTCTCTCTTCTGCAACAGCCGCCGACAGAATTTCTCAGATTGGAGGCCAGATCTCCGGCAACCCTACCGCCGGTGGTCGCGACAAGATCCTCGAGAAGCGCCCTGACGATGTACGCTCCAACCTCTACAATCCTCCCTTTTCTCTCCCTTCTCTGTCGAGATGATATCTACAAAACACCAAATACTCATCCGCATCTCCAAACTAGGTCGTCGTCACTGCCGCCTGCCGTACCGCCTTCACCAAGGGCGGCAAGGGTGGCTTCAAGGACACCCCCGCTGGTGACCTTCTCGCCGGTGTTCTAAAAGCCATCATCGACCGTTCCAAGATCAACCCCGCGCTCGTCGAGGACGTCGCCGTCGGCAACGTGCTTGCGCCGGGTGCCGGTGCCACTGAATTCCGCGCCGCCGCCTTTGTCGCCGGCTTCACAGAGGAGACTGCCGTGCGCGCGGTCAACAGACAGTGCTCTTCTGGCCTGCAGGCTTGCGTCGATGTCGCGAACCAGATCCAGGCTGGCATGATTGATATCGGTATTGGTGCCGGTGTTGAGAGCATGACCCTGAACTATGGGTGAGTAGCGACGACATTGCTGGTGCCACTGGTAACTGAGACTGACATTGAGCAGCCCCAACGCCGTGTCCGAACTCTCCGAAGACTTCCTCAAGGTCAAGGAGGCTGCCAACTGCAAGGTCCCCATGGGCGTTCTCTCCGAGGCCATGGCCGTGGATCTCGGCATCACCCGCGAGACCCAGGATGCCTTCGCCGCCGCCTCATACCAAAAGGCCATCAAGGCCCAGAAGGAGGGCCTCTTCAAGGACGAGATCGTCCCTCTCAAGGTCCGCGTCCAGGACCCCAAGACGGAGGAGTGGAAGGAGGTTGTCGTCGACCGCGACGACGGCGTCCGTGACGGCATCACCGCCGAGTCCCTGGGCAAGATCCGCCCTGCCTTTGCCAAGAACGGCTCCATCCACGCCGGAAACGCCTCCCAGGTCTCCGACGGCGCCGCCGCCGTGCTGCTCATGCGCCGCTCGACCGCCGAGAAGCTCGGCCAGACCATCCTCGGCAAGTACGTCGCCGGCGCCGTCGTTGGCGTTGCTCCCCTGCTCATGGGCCAGGGCCCGTGGAAGGCCATCCCCAAGGCCCTGCAAAAGGCCGGCATCTCCAAGGACGACGTCGACATCTTCGAGATCAACGAGGCGTTTGCCAGCCAGTGCCTGTGGTGCGCCAACCAGCTGGGCATTCCCCACGAGAAGATCAACCCCAAGGGCGGTGCTATTGCTTTTGGCCACCCCTTGGGCTGCACTGGTGCTCGCCAGGTTTCGACGCTGCTGTATGAGCTCAAGAGGACGGGTAAGAAGGTTGGCAACACATCCATGTGCATTGGCACTGGTATGGGCATGAGCGCCGTTTGGGTTGCCGAGTAAAGTGGATGATAATCAATAGGTGCGGGTATATATGGGATGAATGTGTACGAATAGAAAACGAGTCTCTTGTTTATGTTCTCGTTAAATGCAGAGAACAATCCAGCATAGAAATTTTGAATACCTGATGTTAATTTAAAAATTCAAAAATAGTCCTACGTGGCGAGAATGTGACTTTTGCAGTCCATATCTCTTAGAAACCTAAGTTCTAACAGTACATGCTTTTATTGCTCGAGTTTGGAAGTCTTGAATGCTATTAAATGCCCACACATCTACACCACTTCGTACCATCGTATTCAAAAGCCCTCAATCTGCGTGCCAATGTTCTTCTGCTGGGCAACCTCAATCAGCTTTGTCCCAACCACCAGATCCATCAAGCCCACTCCCACGCTCTTGTAGACGACAGTGCCGTCCCGCAGCCAGCGCGACAGAGCATCGTCCTTTTGCTTCTCCTTGTCCTTGTCGGACAGATTGCTCGAAGTTTTCCGGAAGTGCTTCGAAAAGGGCGATTTGTGGCCCGAAGACGTTGTGCTTGAAGGGCTAGGCGGCAGATCGCTGTAGACTGTGCTCATAGATTGGGTTCTATCTGAGAGGTCCAGCTCTGAGAAAGAGGAAGTCTGTGACATGACATCGGAGGCTTCGGACTCTGACTCGTCAACGGCCATTCGGTGAAGCATTACAAGCTCGCCAAGCCTTTAATCATCGCCGTTAGCTTGGCACGCGCAAACTGATAGGGGGGTTTATCATGAGGGAAATGAGGGGTTACTTACTCAACGAGTTGGGTGGGTGGGATCTTTGCATGGATAATCTCTCCGGCTTCCGTTAACGCTCCATCTAGTGTGTCTACCACGATGACGCCGCCTTCATCGGCATGCTTGTGAAAATGCCTATGACCCTTTTCACGGGGCTTCGTGACGAGCTGGAGAAGGCCTTCAGGCAGCTCCCTCATCTCGGGCGTATAGCTTCCTACGGCGACAATGAGCCTGCCCTTTTTTCTGCCTTCATGGCTTGTGAGGATGGAAGCTTCGAAAAGATCCTGCTGAGATGGAGTGCAGCAGTAGATGATGTCGGCATTGCGGATATACTCCTTCTGCAGACGGTTGAACTCATGGAACGTGGGCGTCAGGATGCTGAACTTTGCCGTCTCCCACCCCTCGCGCACCTTGACGTCGTGCGGAATAATCGTAAACTTTTTCAGAATGCGGCCAGCGCTGTCCGAGAAGCGGTGATTGATGATGTTGACGTGCTTGACTGTGCTTCCCCTCATCATCAGGGCGAGGCGGACATGCCAGTATGCCTGCATGCCGCTGCCAAAGACGGTGATTGTCTTGACGTGGTTGCGGCGATAGACGAGACATAGCGAGGCCAATGCTGTGCGGAAAGCAGTGAGCGTACTGGCGTGAACGAGGCCAATGGGCTTCCCATCTGGTGAGAATAGGTTGACGACTCCTGTTGGACTGATTTTCTGGACATTGGGGTCCTTGGTTGCCTCGGCAGCAGTGAGAGACACCACTTTATACACCGTTAATATTCATGATTGAGATGTACTGAGGTTCAAAGTTCATGTACCACATACCTTTACAGCCCATGCCAGAGGGGCCGCATGATGGCATATACAGAGTCGTGGCCTGAGTATCAGGATGCAACGTCGAGACACGATGTGGCTGCTGGAACACGCCTAAGCCGTGGGTACCCAGGTCCGTTGAAAAGGCATGCAGAGCGTCGGCCAGAGTCTTTCTAAAATCCTCCAGCTCATCTAGACTCAGGGTTTCTAGGATATCCCTGACCTGGTCATCTGAGAGAACCGTCAAGGTCATGTTGGCAGTGAGGCTATTCTTGAAGCCGGTTGGTTGGAGGGGAATGTTTAGTTCAGGTGAAGGGCGCTGATAAGGAACAAAGTACCGATCGACACGGAGCCGCTAAAAGCCAATGGTTCAAGATGAGACAAAAGCAGAAAAAGTACAATGTTGTGGATGCCAGACTTGGATGAAAAGATCAATGTCTGCTTGTACCTGTGCTATGACAGCAAATTGCAGCAGTTCTGATACTGGTCACTCAATCGGCAGAGCTAATGACATGATGTAACCGCAGCCCTTGGCACTGGTCCGGCGTTGAGGAGGTTTCGGTGGAGTCTGGACGGAGTGACTGTTTCTCCACACGTGTAAGAAGCAGCCCATCGTATTCGGCTTTTGCTTGTGAGAGGCAAACATTCGCAATGACTTGGAACTTGTGCACGCAAGGTGGCATGGAATTTATTGAGTTTTGGGCCTATGCTCCAGGGTAGTGCAACATACGGGCAGCTACATGAATGTGCTAGTTGACGATCCTGCACTGGACAAGCAAGGAACGTTCAGGCACCGGATCAACGGGCCGTGCTCGCGTAGGCCATTGGATTGTGTACAGACGAGAAAGTGGTTGTCACGGCGCAATCGCTAAACGGTTATTAACAGTCAACTCACTTTACAGAGTGCATATAGCCAAAAAAGTTTAACCTTTGTCCATCAACATGCTAGACGTTTCGTGTCAAGCGCCGGGTGACATTTCCTTCGTATTGCAGTAGAGCGGACAAACGGCTTCGCCGCAGCCTCTTGCCACGTACTGGCCTACGTCACAAAGGTTGCCCGTGATGCATCCATTGTATTAGAGCTGCCTAAGGGAGAGAGGGCAGAGACAAAAGATTGGAAGATGGAAATTCTGCTGCCTGGAGAGGATTATGTATCAAAGATGGAACAACCAATACTGAAATAGAAAATCCATTATCAAGGCATTGATGGATATAAAGACATGGATCTCAAATGAAGCGTCGACACTGTTGATATCTCGGAGCAACAGACTGGAATAGACTCAGGGTCGCTAAAAGCTTGTGCGAAAAACCCCTGTAGCCGCAACTGTTCCAGCAGCTGCGCCCCAGCCGTCTGGGTCCAATCGGCAGCCCGTCGCTGGCACGGAGTACATAAAGTTCAAAGGTTCCTTACTACGGAGTACATTACGCCAAGTCGCGAATACAACACACACAGTCCTCGTCGTCTCCTTTCCCGCCGAGCCCTGCGTCTCACCTGCAGGGCCACTCGTACCATCTACCTCGTGCCGCCCGTACCGACTCGCTCGTTCCTCTCCATTCCTTCGGCCGCTATACCGCAACGGGTACTAAATCAACCTGGCCAAAAGAGTCTCGTCGCCCTCGTCCCTTGGACAACGTCGACATTCCACCTTTTGTCCTCCTTGCCATCGACAACCGCAATCAGCAGATCGCCCGAAATCTCGACTGAGGCCACATCGCGAAAGCTCTCGCCTTCTGATCGCCGTCTCTGAACCGCCGCCTGACTTACAAGGCCATTGCGCGCATCACGAACCACCCGCCGCTATATACACCGTTTTCTTGGCTGCTGGTCAGCTTCGTCGATAATCCGCCAAAATGACGCTCAAGGAAGAATTCCAGACCCGGAATTTCAGTACGTTGCTTTTGCGCATCATGGAGACAAGTTGAGGCTGGAACCGCATCAGTGCTGACCATAGTGACAGGCATCTACGGACAATGGTAAGCCTCGAATGCGCCAGCTGCGAGACGATTGCTTGAACGAGCCTCTATATCCGACGTGGCATACCAGATGCCAGTTCGTTGGGGAAACATTTTTCTAACCAGATTTTGATTTCACAGGCTCGGAATCCTGTCCATGATTCTTTGTTTCGCGACCGGGCTGTCCAACATCTTTACGCTCTTCTCTAAACATGCTCTCCTGATTATCTTCTGCGCTCTCGCTTTGTAAGTTGTCTACAAGGCTTGTTGAGCCAATACAATCAGCTAACCGATCTGTAGGGCCTCATCTCTCATCATCTTGTTTATCGAAGTGCCGCTGCTGCTCAGAATCTGCCCGACGTCCGCCAAATTCGACGAACTCATCCGCAAGGTCAGCTCCAACTACATTCGAGCAGGCACCTACCTCACCATGGCCATTGTCCAATTTCTGAGCACCATTATCGTGAGCTCGAGCTTGATTGCTGCGGCAGTTTTCTTGCTGCTGACGGCCATCTGCTACGGCCTTGCTGGACTCAAGGGCCAGGCCTTTATTGGAAGCAAGACTCTTGGCGGCGCGGGTATTGCCCAAATGATTGTCTAAGATCCTTGCTACGCGATATCTGCAGTGGGGAAGAAAAAAGGGGCGAGAAGAAGGGGAATACATTAACGACATGTTTTATCTCATCAAACGACGCATGATTCAGAATGAACTGGGCGGAGTGACGAGGTTTGGAACTTGGACAAAATTTTTGGCAAGCGGGTAAAGGAGATGATTGTCTTTTTTTTGCCTGTATTACTTCTGACCGCTTGCATGGGGTTGTTAGTAGGCTTTTGTAGCCAAAGGAAATTCGGCGTCGGGAATGAGCCATCATGGCCTATGGTTTGATTTCGACATGTTGCCATTGCGCATTTCTTACATGGTTGTGCTTAGTGGAATAGAGTTTCTAAATGCTATTACGATGTTTGTTGGTGTTCAATGTGCGACTCATGGGCTCTAGGTGCAGTAGGTGAGGGCTGCTTTCTATTGGAAACGATGCCGGGATTCAAGTTGAAAGATTTTATATCTTCAAAACGACATCTTCTCTTGGTTGACAGGAGCTACTAACATGTATTCTCTTACCGCCGTGATGTGTGAGTGATTGGAGGCAAGTATCTGGTATTAGCAGCATTAGCAGGGGCCTTGAATTGACGTTAAATAACCGTAATTAAAGAGAAGAGGATTTCTTGTTTGTTTATTTTATACAGAGACATCTTATAAAATATTAATGATGAATATCATTCTTTTCTGGGATACCTAACACCAACACGAGTTTACTACCTATCAAGGCAGATGAACGAGCTTCAATGCGTGAATCGACCAATCTGCGGTGCTTTTAGGTTTAATATGGCACCTTGACAGCAAAACTTATTATTCAACCAGGCACCTGTCAAGTCTATGATTAGACAGCCGAGTATAGCATTTCAGAGAATTTTGCATGCTCCACTGAAGTTTGACGTATTCCAAGATCATCGGCCATGCGAATTGTGGCTCTGTCGCGACTGTGGCGTCTGACTGTGGTACTCGTACGAGTCCACTGATGAAGTACCGGGGAAACAAACCACCTGCTTTCGAATGCAGAATAAATACTGCCGGTACCTGTATTACTCGGCATTTTTACAAACAGAAACATGTAATATATAGGTACAGGTATGGTGTGACGGCGCCACGTCGCATATTCTTCACAGGGGTTGTGATCTCATGGAGCTTGCTCGGCCACTTACAGCTCCCCTCGCAAATGTCAGGGCATCATCGGAGCGCTGCAGGCTGAGTCACCTGCAGCTCCAAACTCAGCTAATGGACTCTCGGCTCAATCCTTTCAGATGGACGGTAGGATCTGTAGCATTGATGTTCTAACGTCTAGAGGTGCATATATGCAGAGTAACACACACACAGCACATGCTCCAACCAATGGAAAAGCAGCCCAACAGAAGTTGTCAACGAAGCACTTGGCGACTCTACTGGCGGTGAGCTGGTGATTGATGCTGCTCTGATGCTGCTCTGATGCTGCTCGAGCTGATCCAGCCAGCTTTAGTCGGCCGTAGCGTATTAGTTTTACAGGTCAGCCGATTCGATTTCTGCCAGTTGCAGGGGATCCAGCTTTGAGCGAGTGATCTCGGTGGTGGGGTTGCTGAGCTACTAGTGACGCAATCAAGGGATTGTCTACAGACGATGAGTTCTGTCTGGGTGAAGCTGAAGAAGTTAAAGAGCCCGCATACTGTGCATTTTACATTGATATTCCTATCAAATCATTTACTATGTAATAGATAGAATAGAGTACCTGCATGACGCTACAGTGCCTAGATAAAATCGCGCAGCGTCTGGTGGTAAACAAATGCTTGCGTTTGAACGAGTCCCATCCGTCAACCAGCGCCCTGTCTCGTTTTCTTGCTTTTAACCTTGGCTCTAAAGCGTGGTGTGGCGTAGAGGGGTGGAATTACGGTGCGGCTGACGGTCGTATCGCACTGTATCCACGGCTGCATTAGGCGGGGTCGCCCACCGTCCAGGCGCTGGGAATACAGTGCGCATGCGGCACATGTGTGAGGCGCTATCGGTTGCCAGAATTAGCGCACAGGCCTCCCCAATGGCAGCACTGGCATAGATAAGCTGTTCGAGGGGCAGCATCGCAGGCTCTGATCACTCCCAATCTCATTGACATCTGTCTTTTGTGTTACTGCTAGAATCCGATACATTGCTATAGCTGTAGCCTTTCAAGACATTCTACAGCGATCATCCGAAACAATCGCAATTGGTACGTTGGCCCCCCTGACAAGTGACTACGAGGGCGGCGGGACACCTTGGTGGCTGCATGTCAAGCATGTCAAGCATGTATACAGACGACACAGTCTGTAGGGCATGACTGGCTCGACCACGCTCTCGTTGGCCATCAATTGCCTATATGCAATTGATTGGAATTCTGTGAGAGGCTGCTAGCCGCCGCGGCCCAAAGACTGCCATCAATGGGCTCGTTGGGTTTCGTCTCGGGCCCCCTTTGTGTTGCAGCCTTAGTCCTGTGACATCCCACTTCTGCCTTGTCATGTAAAAAGGGTCAAGTCAAAGACACCAGCTGACGTTTTGTGGCTTTCTCTTCTCCAGATCGAAACCTCATTTACTTATTTACATCGACATCGCATAAAAAAAACACAACAATTGAACAATTCGCTCCGCATCTGCATCTGCATCTTTAAATGATTCGCACACTATGACGGCACCGACGATGCAGCAACCAGTCATCCCTCCTCGTCCGTCCAAAAGCCCGGCCAAGGACCTCTTGGCCGCCACTTCGACTCCTCTGGTCCCGCCGCGTCCGACCAACAAGCGCATTGACCGTTCAAAGTCGCCCAACCCCGATCGATTTGCCCAATCGCCCTTTACCGATGGCCTCATAAGTCCTCTTGCGGCTCAGTTCAGCCCGAGTGACCGCAGCGGCGAGGATGACCACCACGACAGCGTGCCCATGCCCTCGGTTGGCGAAGAAGGCCTGGAATACAGCGTCATCACCGCCGAGCTCAAGGGAGAGGGCACTGAGGACCCCGAACAGACTCGTTCCGTCGCCCAAGACCTCAAGCTGCACGCACCCAAGCCGTCCCTGCCTGCCTCAAGTGCCAAAGAGCGACTCCAGACTGTCACCCGTACCGATTCGGACAAAGCTGCCTCGTTTGGCATTGGAAAGCCTGGATATCTTGAGGGACGATCGGCCTCCCGAAATGGCTTGAAGAAGAAGTCTAGCACAAGCTTCTCCACCACCAGCGAGCAAGATCATCAGCTTGATGACGAGCATGGCATCCCCGAAATCGGCCAGAGAGTCCCCATGAACCCGCATCTGGGAGACGTCCAAGCGCCGTCACCTGCCCCGGGCTCAGACGGAAACGGCAAGAATCACAGTCGCAGGCACAGCTCCCGTGGTCTCCCCCCTGGAAGTTATGGAATGCACGGCCATGGTGTCGACTCGCAAGACGAACTTGATAAAGCCTACTACAAGAAGCATCCTGAACTGTTGCAGAGAGAGCATCACACTCCCTTACACGATCGCCAGAATGACTTTGCCCTGAGCAGCAATGACCTCAACAAGCTGGTCCGAGAGACAGCTAAGCGTAGATCTGGCATAGGTTGGTGTAGACTGACTTTGGTTGGCGACTGTGATGAATCCTGGCTAACAAATCTGTGCAGATTTCGATGAATATAGAGGAACCCCTAATGAGGAGGTTGCTTTCCAAGCTCACGAGGAGTATGCTAGCCGAATGGCCACTCCACGCCCCGTCTCCATCGTATTGGATGGAAGTGTTCCGCTAGAAGACCCTGGAGCGTCCGAAGACAAACCTATCCATGTAGACGACCCCAAGCATCCGGAGCAATACTCCTATGGTGCCGAAAGCCCCGTTGAGACTCATGGCCACGAATTTGAGGCACCAATCCTGGCTGCGGATGAGATCGAAAAGGATGTTCGGCAACCCGCACAGGCTCCGGCTATTCGCCCGCACCTTGACCGCAATAGCAGCTCGTATGATGGCACAAGCCGCCCGACCAGTCGCCCAAGCAGCCGCCCGACGAGTATCTACAACGCTCTATCCGGCCACGAATTTGATTCCACTCCACTGGAAGATGTACGCGAGTACGAGCCTCTGTTCGATGATGAGGCTGCAAAGAAAGAGGAAGAGCAAAAGCGTGAGAGCAAGGACGGATCCAAAGCACGCCACTACTTCCCCAGCAAGGATGTTTGGGAGGATGCGCCCACCAGCGTTCATTACACCGCCGAGGTATCAACCCCTGACAATGTGAAAGAGGAGGAGGAAGAAGAACAGGAAGACCCGCATCGAAGGAAGTCGTCGGCGCACAACGAAAATCGCCCCATGACTCCGGCACAGATGTTTGCCATGCAACAAGAACAGCTCGCTGAGAAAGAGGCAAACGGGAAAAAGCATAACTTCTTGCCCATTCTGGAACACAAGCCGTCCTGGGTGGATCACCAGCCCCATCTGAAGACTGGAAAACCAAACCGGTTCCCGAGCAAAGATGTGTGGGAAGATACTCCAGAGAGTCTTCTGTATGAGGCCGAGGTTGAAGAAAAGCCAAAGGATGAGAAGAAGCCTGAAGTTCCCGCTCGACCCTCCAAGAAATTGGCCGAATTGTTGTCACACAAGCCCTCTGTACCTGAACGGCCAAAGTCAAAACCACAAGCTGAGGCTGCTAGTGAGGACGCGGCCAAGCCGACAATACCTGTTCGGCCTGTGAAGAAGCTTTCGGGCGATTCAAAGGATGCGGCCGCCCCTAAGCCGAAGCCCCCTGTTCCATCTCGTCCTGCTGGTGGCAAGATTGCCGCACTTCAAGCTGGTTTCATGAGCGACCTGAATAAGCGTCTGCAGCTTGGACCTCAGCCCTCAAAGAAGGAAGAGGTAGAGAAGAGTCAACCTGTGGAGGAAAAGGAAAAGGTTCCGCTATCCGATGCTAGAAAGGGTCGGGCGAGAGGACCGCAGCGCCGTGCTCCAACCCAGAGCGCGGCTCCAGCTCCCGCCCCGGTTGCGACGAAAGAAGCCACGCCTGTCTCCCTCTCCGTTTCCCAGCCGCAGACAATTTGGAACATTGATCCCGAACATGGCTATGTTCATGTCGCCTCTGATTCTCTTGAGGTCCCTCTAAAGGAAACTTCTGAAACCGCCATAGAATCAGAAAAGGTGTCGCTACCTCCAATGGAGAGCGAGAAGCCTGCTGAACCAGAAGCGCCCAAAGCGGAAGAGGAAAAGCAACCGGAGCCTGTTGTGCCACCAGTGGAAACTGAAGCCCCCAAGGAAACCGTTGAGCCCTCTGCTCCTGCAGAGCCTGCAGCATCCGAGACGGTCCCGGCGCCAGAGCCTGTAGCTGAACCCGAAGAAGTCAAGGACCTCGAAAGCGTTAAAGAGCCTGAAAAGGTTGAAGAGCCCGAGGAGGTCAAGGAGCCTGAGACTGTAGAACCTGAGAAGCCGAAGCCAGTGGAACCCGCAAAGTCAGATGAGCCTGTGAAGGAAGAAACACTTGCGACGAACATGGCTGGTGAGAGCATCTTGGAGGCCAAAGTGGAGCAGAAGGACGACAAGATAGAGCCGGTCGAGGTGAACGATGAGGTAAAGTCTTAGAGCGGCTGTCGTGAGTGCGGCTGACACTGGGTGTCTTGTGCACGATTGTATCGTTGAAGGCTTGTTTCATTGGTCTGTCTGGATACTTGGACTTTCTTTCATCGGTACTTTTGGTGTGTATATATCATACACATTGGCATTCTTGAGGTCAAGCTGTATTTCTCTTCAGTTGACTCTAATGCGACGATCATTCTTATCTCTTGCAATAGTGTAAATCAAGGCATAAATAGTACATTATTTGAGATTTATACTCCTAATATAACAGATGTATGATACACGAGTGTTGAAATATGAGCATGCCCAATAGACAACTCTCTACTTCCTGCTCCACGAACTCCTCTCCTGGTCAGTGCCACCACGCTCCCTCTCCAGCAGACGGTCAAACTCTCGCTGCGCCTGAACCCTATCCCGGTTCTTTTCCTCGTCGGCCTTTGAAAAAGAGTAGCCGTCCCGGGAGACTTGCGCGCTAGAGTCGGCTTCCGAGCCCCAGCCGCCTCCGGATTGGGGCTTCTCCCACGTCTTTCGGTCTGGCTGGGAGGATGGCTGGTATTGTGCTTGCTGACGGATGCGGTCCCATGCTGAGCCGCTGCTGTTGCCTGAAGCATCTGAGCCATTCTTCGACGAGGGAGCGACGGGTGAAGCGTCGTCAAAGTCATCTATTTGAGAGTCCCATGAATCGGATCGCTGGGGGGTCTGTGATGATGACGTAGGGGTGCCATATGAGGCCCAAGAGGATGATGTTGAAGTGTTCTGACTCTGTTGCTCCGGCTCTCTGTATTGACTCGCGCTCTCTTGCTGTGCTGCTGATTCCCATGCATCGTTGATCTGCTCGCGATGGTCCGGGTTACCTCCTAGCAAAGTTGCGCCTTGCGACTTTCCATCATGTAAGAGCGCTCGCAACCTTGAATCGCGCTCCATCTCCGAGCGCTGTCGCATAAAGTTTGCTCCTTGGAAGACTGGCTCTCCGAGAACCCACAGAGTTCCGTAGTAGGCGGCGAAGCGGGCGCTGTGCCACATGAACTTGAGGCCCGGGCTGCCGCCGATGGGGCTGAAGCGCTTGAACTCGGGAGTGAAGAAGGGGAACCGCCATACCCTGCGGCCTCGGTAGGTCATGTATGCCGCAAACCCGGTCATGGCCCATTTCCATGCTAGCAAGTTATGCACGCTTGATAGGAAATGCTCCGTGAGAGCCTGGGTTTCCGAGTTCTCAAAGGGCCTGTTGTTCACTGCGGCCAGCGAGACGACGGTTGACTCCGCTAGGGCCAGCGTCTGGGCCTTTCCGAAGCCACGGAACCGCGCATAGAAGGGGGCTTCGTAGTTCTGGAAGAGGCGTTGGATTTGCTCGTGGATTTGCGGCTCGAATTGCTGGCGGTTCGTTATGGCTCGCTGGCGGCGCTCTTCCATGGCTGCTCTGGCCGTTCGGATGTATTCAGATCGGCTCATGTTCTTGAAGTCGGGATTCCGGTTGCCGTCGCCGCCGCCGCCGCCATTGTTGCTGCCGCCTGAATCCTCCATGTTTTTTCCCCCTATCTCTGTTTCTTTTTATTTCATCAACAAGGAAGTAATAGGTGACAAAAAATTGGAATTCAATGTCTCGTAGATGCAACCCCGCGAATGTAAGCTATCGAGCCACATATGAAGCCGGTTGAAGCACTGTGACGCAAGACATTGCAAGGGACCTAGACTACAGCTTTATCGATAAGCACCCACGTGACCGTGTCATTAAGCTTCATGTTTGTATGCGCGACGCGTTTCGGGGCGTGTTTAGACATTCTGCCCTTCCTAATTGAACAGCAGATTGTCACTCCCAAGCGTCCAATTTTGCGAAAAACGGACAATGCACGACTAGAGAGGCCTTTCAATGTAAGGCTCTCATCACCGCCTCGCCAATCATGCCGCTCCAGAAGTCGTATTCTGAGCGGATTGGGCTCCCAAGAGTATGTTTACTTTCAGATTTGTTGTTTTGTTGTGACTGGTCACTTACAAGCGCTGCAGCAACGCTCACCGTGGCAGCGCTCTCACAGCCACCCAAATAACCTGCAGGCCCCAAACTCGAAGAATCTGATTCCCATCTCCGACGTGACAAAGAAAAAGCTCAACAAGTTTCTCTACCAGGACTCCAAAGATGGGTCCGCAGCAAAACAAGGCGTAGAAGCGAGGGGCCGTGGGACAACCCCAGCCTCTAACTCAGAGACGCCCTCCAACTTGAAGATGATTGGAAGCAGTGCCACTCCGGTGACTCGGCTGAACTGGAGCGACCTTCTCGAGCCATGCAGCCAGGCCGAGGAAGATACCAGCACTTCTCCCAGCGAAAAGCTGCTGTGGAATAACAAGCAGGATCCGAATGCATTCGCCACTATTTCGCCGATGATGCCCCGTAAAGGCAGAAAGAGAGCCAGGAGCTCTTCGCCGATCTCTTCGCCTCCCACCGAACGAATCACCACGCCGACGGTCAACGTAAAGAAGCTCGCCAAAGCGTTAAAGGGGCCTCACCCCGACCCGACTCTGGAGCTGTGGGATCGCTACTCGCTGAATGGACCTGAGGGACAGTCTGCCATCACCGGTGTGACGAATCCCATCCTAGCCCAGTTGATGGTATCATCATCTCCGCGACCTTCTAAAAACCAGGCTGCACAAGTAGAACAAGGGGACTTGCGCCGGGCTGCTAGCTGTGGATTCAATTGGACCAAGAGGAGGAGAGTTGAAAAGTCCAAGTCTGGCAGTCAGAGTAGCACTGGTCAGCGAGAGCTGGAGGCTGCATCCAAGTCGTCTCTTGTCACGGCGTTACTAGATTCAGTCACGAGTAGTATTCACGACCAGACCCCGGATGAAGACGCCGATATTGGAGCCATGGACTCGCCGTCTCTTAAGAAGAGGCCAACTGCACCTCAGAAAAACAACTCGCCGTCGAGAAATTCAAGGCGTCGATTGCCAAGCCCCACCGTTTCGGACTATGGCGACGATGATGATCTAGATGATGAGCTGTTAATGCTCGAAGAAACCTTGCTGGCATCCCAGGCATCCCAAACAATTCGGGCGTCTCAAGTGGCAGAGTCTACTACAAAGGGTGATGGAAGCACAGAGAGAGCAGAGAAACAAGACAGGCGGGGATTGGAGAAGAAACCGGCTTTGGATGAATTTGACGATTTTGATGACGACATATTCGACGGCGCGGATGATTTGCTGGGAGGTTTGGAGACCCAGACTCCAGTGCCCGCGAGAAGGACGCAAAGGGCAATGAAGTTGTCTCCCAAAAAGAAAACCCCGAAGAAGCAAGTTGATCTGGATGACGAATTCGATGATGCATTTGATGGCGAAGTCGACTTTGAAGCGGTTGAATACGCTGCGACTCAAGCGGTCCAGCAGCGAAACTCTGCCTCAACAGCTGTATGTGAGGAAGCTATCCCGAAAGAAACCATGCTAAATGTAGGCCAGAACAAGAAGAAAATCAAGACTATTCAGCGATATTTAGTAACCAGTGTCTTAGACGGTGAATACGTCGATCAATACAACCGCACATGTCCGGAAAAGGTGAGCTGGGCCAACGATTACTCGGACTTGTATCACTTGCTAACTCAAATTAGATCTTGCTGATACAAGCGGATGGTTCCAAGTCTTCACGGACTGTACAGCTACGAGGTTCTTGGTTCGATACGCCGGCGCACCCTGACTCTTACGTCCATGTCATTGGAGAGTTTTCACTAAAGGGGCAGTGTATCGTGGATGACGCCCAAAATCTGTTGATTCTGCACCCCGATCAGCTGGTATCCGCAACTGTTGTTGCTGATTCTTTTGGCTGCATGCGGCGAGCTGTTCTCCAAGATCGAGTCAAGGCAACCAGCGAGGCTTCCCCTCCACTTGTCTACGGAACGATGCTGCACGAGATCTTCCAGGCAGCATTACTCGCCAACAACTTTGATCTCCCTTTCCTATCTCAGTTGATTGATAAGAACATTGAGAAGCACATTGAGGATTTGTATACAATTAAAGTTGGCATTGCGGCTGCGAAAGAACACCTTCAATCGAAAATGACCGAGCTCAGCTATTGGGCTAGGAGTTTTGTTGCATCTCAACCGCAGGTAAGATGATGTCAATATGCTATTTCACATATACTGATGCTAACACCTGTCAAGGCCGATGCCATTGTCGAGGGAAGAAATGGTGATAGAGCTACTATCGCTGTTAGAAAGCTCCTTGACGTAGAAGAGCATGTCTGGTCGCCTATGTATGGACTGAAGGGAAACATTGATGCAACAGTCGAAGTCGCAATGTTGGACGGCAAGCAGCCCCAAGTGTTGACAGTACCATTCGAAGTCAAGACTGGCAAACATGCCAACAGCAACCACATGGCCCAAACGGCTCTCTACACTCTCCTGCTATCGGACCGTTATGACATTGATATTGCCTACGGTATCTTATACTACATGGAGACATCCAAAACGATGCGAATTCCCGCCATTAGACATGAACTTCGACACATGGTTATGCAGCGAAACCAACTGGCATGCTATATCCGAGAGCGAAGCGTCCAACTGCCTCCCATGCTGAAGAGCAAGCACATGTGTGGAAAGTGCTATGCGAAGACTTCCTGTTTTATCTATCACCGGCTAGCTGATGATGGCGACGGGGAATCTAGCGGCATGAATGAGAAGTTCGACGAGGTCATTAAGCATCTAACGCCAAAACATCAAGATTTCTTCATCAAGTGGGAAAACCTGCTTACAAAGGAAGAAAAGGAAGGGCAAAAGACCAAGAGAGAACTTTGGACGATGACAAGTGCTGAGCGCGAGAAGAAATCTCGATGCTTTTCCGATGTCATCATTGAAGAAGGGTCCGCGTCGGTCGATGAAGATAACCCACGGATTAATCGATATCACTACACCTTTATCAAACGCGAGCCTCCGCCTAATTTCACGTTTATCGGATCAGAGTTGACGGTTGGCGAGCCAGTTGTCGTATCTGACGAAGAAGGACATTATGCTTTGGCGATTGGCTACGTCACCTCTGTTCGAAAGCAAAGAATAAGTGTTGCGGTGGACCGACGATTACACAATGCGAGAATTCGGCAGCCTGGATTTGACGAAGTCAACAATCAAGTTTTCGCCAGCATTATGGAAGTTGCGCCAGAGGGCGCATCTATTGATCAGAGCCAAGGGAGAATCAAGGAGGCGCCAATTAGATACCGTCTGGATCAAGACGAGTTTAGCAATGGCATGGCCACTGTGAGAAACAACTTGATCCAGATGATGGCAAACGATGTGCCGGCTGCGGTGCAGATTCGCAACTTGATTGTAGATCTGATTCCCCCTAGATTTAAAACAGCGGCAACGCAATACACCGTGACAGACGGGGAGAACTTGAATGTCGATCAGAAGCGAGCAATCGAAAAGGTCATGAGCGCGCAGGATTATGCGCTTGTACTGGGAATGCCTGGCACCGGCAAGACGACTACCATTGCGCATATCATCAAGGCTCTCGTTTCGCAAAACAAGACGGTGTTGCTGACATCTCATACACACACTGCTGTTGACAACATCCTTCTCAAGCTCAAGTCGGATAAAATTCCCATCCTCCGACTTGGTGCTCCTGCAAAGGTTCATCCTGAGGTTCAAGATTTTGCGCATCTCGCGGGTCAGCCGAAGAAGACATTTGAGGAGATTAAGGAAGCTTGGCACGGAACCCCAATCGTCGCTACGACTTGTCTGGGAATTAATCACCAAGTCTTCTTGGAGCGCTCCTTTGACTACTGCATCGTAGATGAGGCATCGCAGATTACGGTGCCTATCTGCGCCGGCCCGATTCGACTGGCAAGGACGTTTGTTCTAGTAGGAGACCACAACCAGCTACCTCCGGTGGTGAAGAATGAGGAGGCTAGGCTGGGTGGCCTGGATGTCAGTCTCTTCAAACTGCTATCTGATACACACCCGCAGTCCGTTGTCAATTTGGAGCACCAGTACCGTATGTGCGAAGATATCATGACTCTCAGCAACACCCTCATCTACAATGGCAGACTTCGCTGTGGCACGGAAGCTTTACGCAAGAAGAAGCTTCACATTCCCAGCATGGAGTCTCTTAGACAGCGCCACCACGACTCAACAACGATACATCGCTCTGGAACAACTGGCTCGTTCTGTACCGGGCCCGTCCCTTCACGATGCTGGCTTTACGATCTCCTAGACGCTGAAGCTCGTGTTCGGTTTGTTGACACCGATACAATTCGTCCACAGGTTCGAGAAGAGGCTCAAGGCAAGCGTATCATTAATTCAGCTGAGGGACAAGTCGTCTCACAGCTTGTCGAAAGTCTGCTCACTGTAGGCGTCCCGGCCACCGAAATTGGTGTTATGACACATTACCGTGCGCAGCTCCACCTCCTGAAGGATAAACTCAAGCACTTTCCGGGCGTGGAAATGCACACGACGGATCGCTTTCAGGGACGAGACAAGGAAGTCATCGTGCTGAGCCTGGTACGAAGCAACGACGCGTGCAATATCGGAGATCTGCTCAAAGACTGGCGACGTATCAACGTGGCGTTTACCCGTGCAAAGACGAAGCTGCTCGTTGTGGGCAGCATGAGCACCCTTAAAGGAAGCGGAGATGAGAATATGCTGAGCAAATTCATCTCGTTGATGGATGATCGCAATTGGATATACCACTTGCCGGATAACGCGCTTCAGAACCACTATTTTGAAGATTTGAGCACACAGCTCACAACACAGCGGACGCCCCGGAGGTCACCAAAGAGGCCAACCAGGGTGAGTCCCACTTCGTATAAGGACAAGGAGAATAAGAGGCCGTCACCGAGAAGAGCAAGGATGGGGGAGGGGATGCTACTCAAGGACAAGCTGATTACGAGGGATATACTGAATGAAATGACGAATGGCGCATATTGAATTTGAGACGGAGGCTTTTTGTTGCATATTTCTCTGCCGGGTGGTAGGATTGATTATGAGTTTCTAGTTGTTGGACGCGTGTGATTATGGGGTCATAGGATATCTGTAAAGCAAAGATAACAAGGCATTGCATTCAGGGTATTATTCTGGCAAGAATTCAGATTAACGAAATATTTATGTTTGCTTATTCCGTCCGTCTTGAGCGTTGATCATCGTCGTCGTCTTGGTCTTGTTCGTGGTCTTCTTGTTCTTCGTCTTCTACTTCCTCTTCCTCTTCGGTATCATCTTCGTAATGCGCTCCTAGCTTACACTCTTCATCAAACCTATCAAGCATTAGAAACCATGATTTCAGATCAAATTAGTTGGGGTGAAGGGGACGAATTACTCTTGCTCGCCGACGATGAACTTTGTGAACCTTTCCAGCTCTTCCAGCTGGGCAACGCAGCCTGTGAGACTCTCGTTGTATGAGTAGCTGTATATGTCGCTCCACTTCTTGTGCCATCGGACGTCGCTCTCGTGGCTGTGCTGCGCCATTTCATCTTCCACGGCGGCGGTTTCTAGGAGGAGTTTTCTTCTTGCCGCGGCGGCGCTGGGGAGATAGCGCTAGAAGGTGTTAGCAATAGAGTACATGTATAGACAGAGAATGGTGATTCAGGCGGGGTGCGTACTGGGACTTTTCGGTCGGCCCTGAGAGCTCCAGCGAAAATGTACAAGTTAGCTAGGATAGAGGCAACGGCATCTCTTCTGAAGCCGAGCAGGCGCTGTGCGGCGACGGGGTCGTCGCGGATGTAGTCTGGGTTGTAGAAGACGGCGGATTGGCGCACGGCGATGAGGTAGTCGAAGAAGCGTTCGCAGGAGTCTGCTAGGCCGGAGTATGGGAGGGGGTTGAAGGGGCTGCGGAGGCGGACTTCGTGACGGGTCATGACCTATCAAGCTGGTTGTTAGTTTTGATATATTCCTGGACATCATATGGTTGGGTGATAGTTGGGAGGGTGTTGCTTACGAGGAGCTGTCTGATTCGTACAAAGCCTTCTCTGATGCGACCTTCGAGGATTTCGGAGTTGATGATGTCTTCTGGGGTGGGCTCTTTGCCTTCTTCGAAGTAAATGTATTTTGCAACGACGTCTGCCGAGGGGTTAGTGAGATTACATATGGAAGGTTATGATATATGATTTATAGAAGTACTTCGGTAAATGATGCTTAGGAAGAAGAGCATGGAAGACAGTGATTTCCTGAGTTCGTGTCTTGCGATAAACGGCCATAGGCACCAGTTGACCACGATGGGTGCAGTTGTGCCAACGAGGAACACGACGCCTCTGTAGACGGTGGTTAGAGCTGCTGAGGAGGGGAGATTGCCGGCTTGGAGCTGGAGTGAAATGACTGTGAAAGACAAGCAGCCAACGAGGCCGGATCTCTATAATCATTCATTAGTCTCATCTAACCAGTGATCAGAGGAACAGAGATCCTACCGGATGAGAGCTTAGTGTAAATCGATATAGCATGGGTATCATGAAAATAGCTGCAAACACTGCAACCACATAAGGATTTCCATCTCCCGCGGCATGTGAAATCCCAGCCCATACGGCACCTAGTATGGCCAGGACAGCTCTGGCAATCAGGTCTTGTACATTTCCACCTACACGAGCGTGGATGAGGAGCCAGCTCATAGTGACAGCCCACCAAGCTTCATATTCATCCCACCAGACTTTGTCCCAGCGGAGATAAGAGGGGATTGCAAGGAGGGACGTAACCAAGACGGTTTTGAAGGCGTATCGGCTCTCGTAACCTTGTAAAAGGTGCAGTACCTGCCAGATTTTGTAGCTCAGGCTGTTTTTCTTGGTCCCTAAATCGGGCGGCGCACCGGGATCCGTGAGATGCGTCAACTCGGCGTGTAATTCCGTCTCGGAAATGTCGTCTTCGTATTTCTCCAACGGTTTGTATTCTCGACACTTGATTGATTCTAGAGCACGAGCAATTTCGAGGAACGTGACGTGATATGATCCGGCTGTAGCTCCGCCTCGGTCATGGGTGACTTGGGGATTGACGCAGTGGACGGCTTTGTGGAGAGAGTATGACGGTAGGTGAGGGCGTGGCCAGTGGGAGCATTGTTGCATGTTGTATACTTTGCCCATAAGGCTTTCGATCGTGGTTGCGGTTTCACGGAGATGTCTGGCGAAGATGAATAATTGAACGATGGCCGAGTCGTTCATTGATGATGAGGGTAGCTGGCCTGACTCAAGAAGTTCTGACTCGACGGCATCGAAGATGGCTTTGGCAGTCCTCATTCGGATTTGAACAGGGGCAATGTCTGATGAAACGGTCATTGGAGGGCCGAGATATTGTCGGTAGCCAGAGAGGTCCATCAAGGTAGCTTGGCTTGCCTGCAGCCCTAGGTTCATGCATGCGAGAATCTCTTTGGTAGGCTTTGCCAGTTTCCGAATCACCGTACGCGTTACATCCGCCTCTTTCAACACACCAGGAGTCTTCTCCGTGGTCATGTTATTAAGATCATTGCTGCTAGAAGATGAAGAAGACATCTGGGTGGCCTCGACTACAATCGGAACATTGCCATCGTCGGTCTCACTGAAGAGGGCGCTCTCCGTTTCCATTGCCAGCAGCGCACGGATGACGGCTTGCATGATGTTTCGCAAGTCTCTCACATCGTCTGGGTTGAATCGTGTAATGGTGAGGCTGGACCGCATCTCACGGTTGGCAGCGGATAAGTCTACGAATGCGCGCACCAGACTCCGCCTGAATCTGGTGTCTCGAGGACGTGGAATCACAATTGCCTCCTAAACAATGGAAAGAGTCAGATGAGATACGGCGACGAAGGTATGGGAGACGATAAGGATGACGAACCAGCATGAGGGAAAAGGAATTGTGGAAAATAAGGGCAAGCGATCTCGCACCAGCATCAGGGAAGACGGTGCTGTTTACCACCAGTGCAATAGCCTGGCCAAAGAGCCAAGGAACAGCGTAGTTTCTCAGCTTATCCCACACGATGAGGTCTCCTTGAGTCTGGGATAAGACGGTGAAGATAATTGCTACGCCTGCACATACGACCATCTGGTAGAATCTCGCATAAAACGAACGTATCCATGCTATGACTGCCATGAACAGAGCCAGGAAAGGAGCCAGAACGCCCCCATAGCCATTGCTAGCGGCAGTAGTCGATGTAGATAGTAGAAGGCCGGCAACTCCCCATCCAATCCCGGCTGCTGTCCCAATGGTGGTGAAGATGGTGCCTTCAATCTGCGCACCCAAAGTCCTGGCTGGGTGATTCAAGATGACCGAGACGGCAATCATATAGTGAGTTGGACCAAGCCATCTTCGGACAGCTGGTATCAAGCACAGAATATACGCTGCGAAATAGGCGGTAAAGGACCTGAGGAGACGAATGCCGGTTCGGGTTGTGGCGACACGCCGGAGCACCGATTTGACACCCCGAATCTGTCTTGGAATAAACCGACTCGCCGCCAACGGTGACTCTTCGTCGAATGCAGCGGGCAGCGATGCCCTGGATCGTTCTACAAAGCCTTGCGGCATCAACGGCGTGTGCTTGAGGAATAATGCGTCAAAGAAGCCATCTCGCTCCTCGGCCACGCCAAACGTGTCCGGATCAATGTGGTCTTCTGGGAGAATCTGGTCTATCGGGATGATATAAGAGCTGCGTCTGCTGCCGTATTCGGACTGTGCTGCTGAGGTGGTTGTTGTCTTGAGCGGTGGAGTTTGGGCAAGGAAGCGTAGCCTGGTGGATGTAGGACTGGATAGCGACTGAGGGTCATTTTCGACATCGCTATTGCTCTGGAGAAGAACTGGTGGAGTGAAGCTTTCGAGATTTGGTGAGCCATTGGCAGCCATAATTGATGTCGGGATCCGGTTATGAGTCCTGAGATCCGCGGATCTTTAAGGCTTCTTTAGATCCAATGGCTGGGATTTCACTCGGCTGATGTTTTCATGACTTGATCTGTTTCGTATGTAACGCAGTATAAATATTAGAAGAATTGAAAGTCCGATTAAGTGAAAAGAGATAAGAGCATCAAAGTCGGCATCGCATGTTCGGCAGGCGTTGGAAAATCATTGTCGGCGTTCGGCATCTACGTCAGGGGGAGAAAAACACTGCGATTCCCGGACTCAAAGCAGACGATTGAGCACGAGCCACGAGCCCATCAATTGATGTTAGAATCGCTCACCCAGCAATCCGACGATTGAACAATAGAAGATTTAGCTCTTCAATGGTGATTGCAGGGCGGAATGGCTGACGCAGTTGGGAGTTGCCCTGAAAGTGTTGGTGGATGGAAAGGCGCTGAAGACTTTTCCGTTTTGGGGCAACTGTTGGAAAACAAGATTCGGCGTCTAGGTTGTTGACAAAAGGTGGCCACGAGGACCATTTTTGATGATCAGCATTCTGGGATTAAGTATAAATTGACTTTGTGTAAATAATTGAAATCTGCACTTTTCTTACATATATATTGATTACAATCCCCGTCCTAGATGCTGGTAATGCCTTGTATAAGGAGAGCGGATAGTATAGATTGCCTATTACACATACTAAAGACGTTGACAATAGTTAACGCCGTATTGACCACTACCTGCATCAATGCTCCAATTGAACAAGGTTGTTTTCGATTATAGCTTATATCTACCACTTCCGACACTTCTTACCAACTAAAATAACAGCAGTGTCGTGAGCAGCAACAGCTGCCTTGTATGAACTAAGACACCCAAGGTTCTTGTCACTCCAGACATCTCGCACTTCATAGTGTCCAGCAGACAAGCCCGGAATCTCATGCCACTTGGCCTCCTTCGTAACCGTGTTATTCAAAGTATTCACCATCAGAACCAGATGCCCCTTTGTCGATGGACCAGCCCAAAACTCGGCAGGATACGTAGAGTTATACGTCCAGTCAGGGTTGATTCCCCATTTGTACGGAGTAGCCGGGCGACCATAGACCTTGTCCTGGTTGAACGCCAGCAAGTGCTTGTTCTTCAACAAGTTG